ACAAAGGAAACCAATTATATTGAAATAGTTATTAAAAAAAAATTCAGGACCTCCTAAAATCTATCCACTGGATGGCAGGTTAATAAAACTCATGGGCTAGACCATTATATTACAGAGGTGAATCTCTTCAAAGGAGCAAAAAAGCCAGTAATATCAGTTTGTGGTACACACAGAAGTGTGCCCCAGGAGAGTTTAGTGTTTCTGGAAGGAGCTCTAACCACCACATGAGAATTTATTTCTATGAAAAAACATATTCTGAACTCCAAATGGCTTAGATATTAATTTTTAAGCACTACTCTTTGGGAAATTAGGGAGTGTTTGGACCTCTAATGGGGAATCAGAAGCATCTGGGAAAATTCTAAGAGAAACTAAATTGGCAAACTCGAAAAAGAAATCGGGCTTATTGTTGTCTAGTTGAGATCCAGGGGTAGCATTTTGAATCCCAAAATGGGGGAGATAAGTGCAAGCAAAGGACACAACAATCTGGTTCTGCTTGGGCAGTTTTCCACTCCTTTCTTTTTTGCAAAAATACACTAGGGGTACATTCCCCTTTTCTTCTTTCACTTTCCTCTTTGTTTTACCTTTGGTTTCCCTAGAAGCAGGGTCAAGTGTGGGAAGAATGGGTTAAAACTACTCATTTCCTTTCTTTCCATTCATCTCAAACTCTAGGTTAATATCACCTAAGCAGACTTCATATGGGGCCCATAAAGAGGAAATTCCCACATCTGCTGGACATGATTTGGGGATTATTGGTGAGGGGAAAGGAATTCATAAGGATTCTTCTGCCTAGTTAGATGGTCACTAACTCGTAAGATTGGTTCCTATCCCTTCTGTAAGACTTAAATTAGATTTTAATTTTTTTTTAAATTCTCCCTTTTAGAAAATGCAGAGGGAGAGACTGACCAAAAAGTTCTGAAAAAACAGAAAAAAAAGTGGGCATGGAGGAATTAGTTCCAAGGCTTGCAAGCCATGTGACTATATCAATGTGGTTGGCATCATTAGGTCAAAGTAAAACCCTTTTAAGTTATCCCAACTCCCTTGTTAGGTTCTGATGCAACACAGTGGTCACATACACAATAGAAATAATAAGGTTGTATATTGATCATTTTAATAAATAGTGTTTTGGGTAACCACAGATAGTTAATCCTCTTAAATATATGTCTATAACAGATGATTTCATGTGTTTAGTAGCTGGGGAATGTTTTTCAATATGAATGGCTGGCATCAAATAAAGATGGTTTTAATGGGAACAAAACTGCTCAGGGATTAAGACCAAACAGCTAGAACAACTAGAACAATTCAGTTTGAAAAATCCTTATGAGAGCAACAGCCATTTGAGAAGTATGAATCAGCTTTAATACTCACTAGTTGAGTTGGAAGCAGTGGGACATTCCCCACTTCTCCCACCACTTGTACTGAGAAGACTTATTTTTAATTGTGCATAAATGAGATATTCAAACTCCCATAAGAAGTGAGACAATGTTTGTGAGGCAGCAATGTGGAGGGAAATATAAAAAGGTAACAGTTGGGCTTTTATTTTGGTTTACCATACATTTCATCAGGAAGAGTCTGAATAAGAAATAGTTTCATTTTTAAACCATGCAAGGAATCTTTAAAGCAGACCATAAGGTGCCACATGAGTTAGCAACAATCAAAGGATCCCAAGAACATAAAGTCACAATGTCTAGTTGTTTGACTTGTGAAAAGGAAAAATCTTCAGAAACTGCATTCAACTATATTAAAGCAATGCTGCTTTCATACTCCCTTACATTAAACACCCTTCTTTGATTTCACTTTTTTTGGAGGGAAGTCTGAGTGGTAAGGAACATGACGCAATTATTTAAAAAGTTCAAATTGCGAAATTTTTAAAAATATATATTACTGGACACACTTAAATGACAATTATAGACTTTCTTCATCCAGGCAACATTGGAGAACCTTCTCAGATTCCTCCTAGATATTAACGTGGGCATCAGTTCAAGAGTACCTCAAGAGGAATTAAGCACTTGTTAACATCATCTGTAGAGGCAAAACAATGCAGTAAAGACTACTGAATTAACAATCAAAAACCTGAAGTCTTGTTCCATATCTGTCACTAACTAGTAATGTTACCTTAAACAAGTCTTGTCATTTCTCTGGGTCTGCTCCCTAATCTGTAAAACGAGAATTGGACTAAGGGATCTCTAACACCCTGTTCCAGCTCAGCATTTGCTGATCAGACTTCTCTCTGTGAAATGTTCCTGCTTCAAGGATGTTAAGCATCTTGTAAAGGATTCGCTTAGCCTGTTCATCAGGGCTAATTTCACAGCAATGAGGTTCTTTGCCATGTATTTTTGAAAAGTGAACATTCTAAATTTTCTATATTGGCAACATAGGAAATACAATTCTTCAATTACATGTGAAAATTGTAGGAAAACAGAAGTGTCAATATCATGAGATTTCACTGAATTTGCAATGGTTACTTTTTCTTGGAAGACAGAAGACATTTATTTAAAATTAAATCTCTTCGAATAGTAGAGTGACCCTGATCATCCCCAAAGCTATTGCAAGTATGGCTTCCTGCAGTGAAATGTCAACATTAGTGTGTAGTAGGCTACTTTGATTTCCTGCAGGTACCTTAAAGTGGCCTCCACTGTATTATTTCAATCCATAAGAAAATTATTACTTAATGATGCATAAAACTAATTATTATGAAACAAGACTGAATTTGTATGGCAGTTGCTCACAATGTGGAAAATCACACTTTTTCATGCCCTATTTTCTTTTAAGATGTGTGCCCTTTCTCTGCCATCTAATGTGTTCTGCATATATAAAAATAAATACTCTTCACAGCAGGGTCCTGGCTTGGAGGCTTCAGAATCCAATAAAAGAGTCCTGTAGTTTAATAGCCCTTAAATGCTCAACATCTTTTTCACTTAATGTAAAATCCATCTGATCTAATAGCTGTGACTGAATCATAGATATATAATTTTTTCTATTAAATGTTAATTTTCTGACTTGGCAGAGCAATAGGAGCTATAAATTATTAAGAAGGCAATAACCTCTATAAACTCTTTGCAGAATTCACAATATTCCCAAGGCTGCTATTTTGAAGGGAAAAAAAATTGCAAACCAGCTTTAAAAATAAAATAAAAATTGGGTCCATTAAGTACAACAATTTGGTGCCAACTATCAATTATAAGAAACATTATTTTTATTGATGTTTCTTCCACTGTTTCACTGAATAGAATAAAATATATATATATGTATGTATGTATGTATTTGCTAGGAAAACAACCCTCACTAGTCTAGGCTGTATTTTATTTACATATGACATTTTTGTGACCTTCCCTTTTTGCTTGAATTCATTCAACACTGATGTTTGTTCAGGAAGCCATAAATAATGAAAATGCCCTTTAATACATAGGTGATGCCACATACCTAATTATGCTAAATACATGCATTACTCCTGCAAAGGAAGGCTTGTTGGGATGTCAGTGTCACCACAGAAGCCTGTTCTTCTTTTGCCACTCTGCATTCTTGATTTGAGCTAAAAGTCCAAATAAAAAGAATCAGACCCTATACAACAAGAAGCATGTTAATATTTAATTGATGAAGCTGGTTTAGACACTCCTGCACATCACTAAATCAAAGGAGAACTGAAATAGCAATTTTTTTTCTATTTTGTGGTTTCTAATGAACAAATTCTTCAGTGTAAACAGCATCTGTTTCCAATTCTAACTTCTGCTCTTTTTCTGTCATTAATAAAGGACACTGACCCTGTCTAGGAAGATTGTGTTATTTATATCCTTCCAATGTATGTGTGTGGGGAGTGGGAAATCCATGCAAACATACAAGCACAATTTTATATCAAATGATTTTAAACTCTGCAAATGGTAGTTTTCCACCAAATTCTCTAGAGTGACTACTAGTTAATAAGATAGAACTTGGTGGGAGGAGGAGGGAGAGGGAAGAAGGAACAAATAAAAGCTTTCACAATATATTGTGGTGTGTGTGTGTGTGTATTTTAAGACATTAGGAAGTATTGGTTTTTCTCTGGCCCTGGGACAGTTTCAAATAATTAATTCAATGGTATCACTCAGTCATCAAGACCTGAGAAACCAAATCTTAAACTCTTTCTATTTCAATATTAGAACAAATAAAATGAAGAATACTGATGGCTTGATAGGTGCATAGCTATGGGTAAGGACTGTCATTAAGTCCTCATGAGGGAGCAGCTGCTTTTAAGTAAAAAACATTCATCCTTCTGAGATAGAGGGTTTTAAAAGCAGACATAAGCAAATACGTTTGGAATAACAGGAAAATTCAAACAATGTGAAACTTTGTCAATATACAGCAAGAAGAACAGCCCATTTTAATAAAAATTCCACCCTTAAAATGGAGCCAAGTTCATTTTTAGAATTAGAGCAGCACTGGTAGAGTTAACACACACAATAGCACAGTACTAAAAATTAACATACTTTCTGATGTGTTTTATCTCTTTATTGTATCAAACTCTTCTTTTAATAACACTGGTTTGCTAACAAAGAAAATCAATTTTTTTTTTCCTGTCAGGTAGGAAAGGGGAAAGACAGAGGGAGAGAGACAATAGGGAAACTTTTCATGAATGGTCCTATACAATAAAATGGAAATTTTGCAGCTTTTAGAAAACACTCACAAAACTCTGGTCAATGATTTATTTTACTTTTAACCCTATGCTCACAACACATGATCCTTCTAAAAGATAAGGGAGGAAAAACTAAAACCATCCATTACATGTGATCAATTTCTTTTACAAAAAAAAAGTTTTATGTTTCAATCTTGTAAAAGGAGTTTTAAACATAAACATAAAAAACCAAAGGGAAAAAGTAGTTGATCCAAGTACAGTAGGTACTTGTGTTTTCATTTTGAGTGGCTAAAACTAGATCTTGAAGTTGTTTCCCATTCTGTTCTAATCACCAGAAGGCTATGAGGAAGTTATTTTAATCAATCTATCTGTTACAAAGACATTAAAGCCACAATTCATTGAAAGCAGCATTTTATTGATGGATACAGGAGAAATAAAATATACATAGTTTCCCAAAAATTAGGAAAATACAATTTTGAAATGTCAGTTTCAGTTTAACAACTTCTCTCTAGTAAGAGTTTCAACAAAATTACAAAAGGCAAATTAAAACTTAAATTTAACTCGTGCACCCTTACAATCTGTATTCTAAGGGATTCCACTTAGATGTTAGAACAGAAGAGCAGCATTTAATCATGCTAATAAAAGAGTTAAATATTCCTTATGCAAAATTTAACACTCTACATTAATGAGTTTTTGAAAAATACAGTTTAGAAATTCCTATTCCTGCTGTAGCTCTCCATTTAGCAAATGAGGCCAGTTTTCTCTAGGCGGCAGTTTCCATTTTGATAGTTTCCATTTTGATGGCAGTTTGCCCTGAGCTTTGTCAGACAGCTAGACCCATAATCTGCCTCAGGAAGCACTAACCCTCTAGGGAAAGTCACATTCTCTTTAATGCAAGAAAACTTGCCTTGAAATAGGTATTTTTTTGGCCTTGTCTGGTATAAACAGGGAACCCCCCCCCAATTTGAAGAGTAAATAATATTAATAAAATAATAAACTTATAGTGAGATGTATTAAATACTTGGTTCTACTAGACTGTTTACTATGAGCTTATCAAACTTTTTTGATAGAGAATTCTTGCAATTTTCACCTTTAACATTTGTATTTTCCATTAAAATCACAAAGGCAAGTTTTAATTAATAAGTCAATGCTCAATTTGCAAGAAAGGTAGATGTCAAAATATAATCACCTCTGGGTGCAACTTTCCTATAAATAAACTTGAAACAGTTGCAAGACACACTTAATATCTATTATAGTTATTATAGTGGCAAAGTTTTAAAGTTGTTGCTAAAGATCTGACACTTTAAGGAATCTAGCATATAATTTAGCAAAGAGTTATTTAATCACCAGAGCCTGAAAAATCACTATTTTAAGTAAAAATTGAGATACTGTACTGGAAATTAACAGATCATTTTGAAACTCCTGATAAAATCCAGCCCAGCTATTCTTAATCTAAACATAATCAGTTACAAAGCATTAATGAAAAAATATCTCTGTAAAAAAAAAAAGCATAAAATTTATTAGTGTATGAGGAGAAAATCTGTACCTCCAGTAAAAGAAAAGGCACTTAAATTTAAGTTACTTAAATAGAAATGCAACTTGGCCAGCCAAGTTACAATACATTGCTGGACACTACATGACATCTTATTTGACACTGCTCTACTAAAGACCAGAAGGAGGTGTTTTGATTCACTTAAAAGTAGCTACCAACTTGAATAGTCTAAAAGAACTCTTTAAACAACCTGTTTTAGCAAAAAAAAAAAAAAATCTTATATGGACTTGTTTATAACTGAATTCGTGTTTTATAATGGGCACCAAAGATTTTTTTTAAAGTAGTCACTATGACATCAGTAGTAGCAATCAACTGTGTCATTATTTTGACTGTAAAATTTGTAATAACTTTAAATATTCCAAATTTCCTCAAAATACACAATAAATACATTTGGAATATAACATAAATTGATGATACTGTAATAGTAACAGACTTATCTTTCTCATTTCATTTTTTCCTACTAGAAAAAAAAGTACATTTAATTTCAGTTATGCTAATACAGCAAGATCCATAGCAAGAAGGGAAAGGAAGGCACTGGAGGTTAATACAAACACGGTCACAAGCTCCAGTCAGGTAAAGCAGTTGTTTACCCCATCACAACTAAGTACTCTAGCAAACAAGCCCCTGCCGCATGCGGATGATCTGGAGTAAGGCAGCTTGAACATCTTCATCCATGTGACCCTTCAAAGTAGAGAAGAAAGGATTTAAATCACCTTCATTTCCATAAAATGCTAAAACTATAAAGGTCTTTAGAGGAGTGCAATATGTTGTGTGACTGATCAAAAGCCATAACCTTGGCATGAAGAGTAAACATGTAAACATGTACAGCGGTAGTATGACCATATTTGCAATAATGTAGCAATAAAAATAAGGTACTATGACTAATTCCTGGAAGCAGGGGAGCAATACGAACATGAGAACAGAGACTAACAATACACTTTCAGAATGTGGACTTTTTTTTCTACCTCTAAAGAAAGGAAATTATCATTATTATCTTTTTGAGTAAGCAGAGTAAGGTATTAGGGGCAGCATGACATTATAAATTAGGGGAAAAAATAGAGAGCGAAATTTTAAATTTAAAAAGAGTTGTGTGATTAAATGCAAAAAGCCAATATGGCCTTCATCCCGTTTTCGGCTTCAAAACTTAAATGGATTACAGCACAACACTTCCTGTTAATATAAAAGGTTTCGCTTCCAAAATCTGTTTCTGTAACAGCAGGATGTTTAAATTTCAAACATTAGCCGTAGTTGACTAAACTGAATTTCTTAGTTAACTTTATGTGCCAGAAGGCAAGATTTTTCAGATGCCAATTGCTTTTGTTTTGTGTTGCATTAGTAGTCAGCACAAGAAAAAAAAAAGTTAAAAACAGAAATATAATATCTAAGTTATTCATTATTACTGCTTCAAAAGAAATAACCATAAAATCTGGGGTATTAGTTTGGAAGAAACTGTTGTGTCTACTCTAGTCAATACTCAACCCAAATGACTCACTCTCCGCTCTAAAATACATATCTTTCCACTCAATTCCTACCTCTTCCTCCACATTCCCATTACAAAACCCTAGCTCACTTGTTTATCAAGCCCTGTATCAAACACTGCAATGTGTTCAACTGCCATCTTTTCTGTTATTTCAAAACAGTATTACTGAAACTATCTATCTCCTATAACATTCATTCTTCACCTTCAAGGTCTTTCTTGTTAGGGCTCCTTGTCAAATGCTCTGCTTGTTCTTGCTTATACTACTCACCTAGTAGTGCCTTTTCTTTATTATCTCCATCATCACTTTTCTTCCAATCTTTCCTTCCACCTCTACTATCTATGTCTCCATGATCTGATACTGTCCATTTATGAAAACAATTCCTATTTTTTTTCATCTAACACATAATGGCTTTGTCTTTTTAATAAGCCTTCCTTAAAAACTATTAGGCAGAAAGGTGGAGGATATGTCAGATAAAGTATTGGTTAAAGAGTTCCTGTAGTGAATGACATACAGTATTCACATACAACCACTTTTCTTAATATGTTATGACAAAATGTTTTTCTCATTTTAATATTAATTTTACACAAATAGAGAATTTTTCTGTCTTGGGCTTCACTGAGCTCAGTAACAAAGAAAAGAATTTCCCAAAGTCAAATTATTCTCTTTAAAATCCAATGCAGTTCTGTGCACATGCTATTTTTTAAATGATCAAAGCACTCTGCTGAAATATACAGGACATTTCTGAATTCCCAAGAAAAACCTTAAGGTCTTTTGACTCCGTTTTTTCAGCATAAGGAGATGTGTTGATGGCAACGCATTATCTTCAGATAACAACACCATTAATGTGTGTCACCACTGTATGTTGCCAAACTGTCTATAAACTGAGCGATGAGCAGATGGAGACAACACTAAATTTAATATGCTGTGTTGCCATATAGCTTTTAAAATTTCCTCCTGAACATACGCAAGCATGGCTAAAAGAAACACAATTATTTTTAAATAAGCATATGGGGTGCAGCTACTCTAAACACCAATTACTTTTACATCAGTTTATTTAACAAAAGGGATGGAAGGAAGGGACTATTTACCTGTGCGGCACTAAGAAGATGCGTCCTATATATTGCAATCACTTCTTGATGCTGTCTGTCAGCATCCTATAAAAAGAAATGGGAAAAAGGCTAAAAGTAATTTATTTCATTCAACTTTCCAACAGACCCTGGAACCTTACTCTAATATTGCCCTTTGACTCCATGAGGTCCTCAAGCATTTATAGTAACCAACCAACCTGGACCCACTTAATATGGAATTATATAACAGGCAGAGCTCTAGCAATGGTAGGATAATCTGGACTTTGTCCCAGCTCATCAAAATACAGTGTCCCAAGAGTCATAGTGCAGTTTTAAACGTTAAGTAACTAAAGTAGTAGCAACACTACAACTTTTGGTATACCCTGTATGCAGGACATGCTCACAGTATTTATATTCCTTCTAGTTAAAATAAGAAGCTCCAGATGGTACAGCTCACCTCTCTCATCCCTACACTCCATACTCATGGCCACACTGGAGAGTAGCAACATCTCTCTTGGTCCCCTCTGAAGTAGCATTCTTCCTCAACCTTCAGCAAAGGCCTTCAGTGTCCCACATCTCCCCAATTCCAAATAAACTAGTCATTACATTTTGATTTGAGAGTATCTTGTGCTGCATTGTGTGAGGATTTTCTTAGGGACCAAAATTGCCAATACAGTGGATTTTTTTTAATGGTATCTTATTTTTTTCCAATTACATGTAAAGACAATTTTCAACATTCATTTTTTATAAAATTTTGAGTTCCAAAAATCTCTCCCTCCTTCCTTACCTTCCTCCTCCCTAAAACATTAAGCAATTTAATACAGGTTACATATGTGACATCATGTAAAACGTATTTCCATATTAGTCATGTTGTGAAAGAAGAAACAGAAAAGGAAAAAAAGTATGGAAAAAAATAAGGAAAGCGAAAATAGTATGTTTCGATCTGCATTTGGACTCCATCAGTTCCTTCCTCTGGATGTGGAGAGCATTTTTCCATCATAAGTCTTTTGGAATTGTCTTGGATCATTGTATTGCTGAGGAGAACTAAGTTAATCATAGTTCATCAATGCACAATATTCCTGTTACTATGTACAACGTTCTCCTGGGTTCTGCTCACTTTATTCGGCATCAGTTCATGTAAGTCTTTCCAGGTTTTTCTGAAATCTGCCTGCTCATCATTTTTTATAGCACAATAGTATTCCATTACATTCATATACCACAACTTGTTCGGCCATTCTCCAATTGATGGGCATCCCCTCAATTAGTGGATTATTTTATAACATCATTCCAGTATAATTTCAATAATGCTATAACTTTTTCTAAAAAACAATAAGTAAAAGAATTGAGCTCGTATTTTTAAGGTACATACATTAAAAAGAATTTCTTCTCTAATACACTTTTCCTTTGACTACCTTAACTTGAATTATTTTTCTTGAATTTAAGATACAGTGAAAATTATGTAAATTAAAACAATGTCCTCAGCCCAAGGAAGGATTTGATTCAATTCAACAAATCTACATATATCAAATCCCTACACTATGCTTCATTACTATTGCAACCAATTCAGTCTTGGCCTTAATAACTTCAGAGCTAAAATATTGTAATTCAATTCCACAAACTTTTTTTAAATTTATTTTTATTTATTTTACTAAATATTTACCAATTACATGTAAGAAATATATAACAATCATTTTAAAAAATTTTTAGTTCCAAATTCTCTCCCTCTCTCCCCCTCAAGAAGGCGAGCAATTTGATATCATTTATATCTGAGGTCATGCAAAACATATTTCCATGAGTCATGTTTCAAAAGAAAAAACAAAAATGAAGACAGTTTTTTAAAGTACGCTTCTATCTACATTCAGAGTTCATCAGTTCTCTCTCTAGAGGTAGATAACATTTTTCATCACGGCACCTTTAGAATTGCTTCGGAACACTCTCTTGATCAAAGCAGCTAAATCTTTCACAGTTGATCATCCTTAAAATACTGCTGTTACTATGTATAATGTTCTCCTGGTTCTGCTCAATTTACTCTGTATGAGGTCACAGTCTCCCCAGGTTTCTCTGAAACCACCCTGCTCGTCATTTCTTATAGCACAGTAGTATTCTATCACAATCATATACCACAAGTTGTTTGACCATTCCCCAATTCATAAGCATGCCCTTGATTTCCAGTTCTTTGCCACAACAAAAAGAGATGCTATACGTACTTTTGTACATACAGGTCCTTTTCCCTTTTCTTTGATCTCTTTAGCATACAGACCTAGTAGTGGTATTGCAGGGGCAAAGGGTATATGCACATTTTTATAACCCTTTGGGCATAATTCCAAATTGCTCTCCAAAATGGTTAGACCAGTTCACAACCCTCCCCAGAGTGCATTAATGTCCCACTTCTTTCACTTCCCCTCCAGCATTTCTCATTTTCCTTTTCTGTCATGTTAGCTAATCTGATACGTGTGAGGTGTTACCTCAGAATTGTTTAATCTGCATTTCTCTAATAGTGATTTAGAGCACTTTTTCATATGACTATAGCTTTGATTTCTTCTTTTGAAAACTGCCTGCTCATATCCTTTGACCATTTATCAAGTGGGTAATGACACATATTCTTACACATTTAACTCAGTTTTTTATATGTTTGAGAAATGAGGCTTTTATCAGGAAAACTTGCTGTAAAATTTCCCCCAGTTTCCTGCTTTCCTTCTAATCTTGGTTACATTGCAAAACCTTTCTAATTTAAAGCAATTAAAATTATCCATTTTGCATCCTGTAATGCTCTCTATTTCATTTGGTCATAAACTCTTGCCTTATCCACAGATTTGACATGTACAGTTTTTATGCTCCCCTAATTATGATATCAACCTTTATATCATTTATCCATTTATGTGGTGTGAGATGTTGGTCTATGCCTACTTTCTGCCAAAATGCTTCCCAGTAATTTTTGTCAAATGTTCAGTTTTTACCCCAAAAGCTTGGATCTTTGGGTTTATCAAATGCTGGATTATTATGATCATTTACTACTGTGTATTATGTATCCAATCTATTCCATTGATCCACCACTCTATTCCTTAGCCAGTATCAGACTGTTTTGATGATTACCACTTTAATATTTCTCCACTTTTTCAGATCTATTTTTATTTGTAAGAAAAGCATTTTGTGGTTGTGTTCATACAATCCCTGGGTTTGTCTTGGCAGGTAAACTCCCAAGAGCTTTATACTGCATGCAGTTATTTTGAATGGAATTTCTCTATCTCTTTTCACAGGGTTTTGTTGGTACTATACAGAAATGCTGATGATTTTTTGTGGGTTTATTTTATGTCCTGCAACTCTGCTAAAGCTGTAATTGTTTCTATTAGTTTTTTAGGTGAAGGTCTAGGGTTCTCTAAGTATGCCATTATATCATCTGCAAAGAGTGATAACGGTCCTCCTTTCCTATTTTTTATTCCTTCAACTTCTTTTTCTTGTCTTATTGCTGTAGCTAGCGTTTCTAGTACAATATTGAATAACAGTGGTGATAATGGACACCTTTGCTTTACACTCCTGATTTTACTGGAAAGGCTTCAAATTTATTTCCATTATAGATAATGCTTACTCTTGGTTTTAGATGGATACTACTTATCATTTTAATAAAGGATCCATTGATTCCTATTATTTTTTAGGGTTTTTAATAAGAATTGGTGTATTTTGTCAAAGGTTCTTTCTGCATCTATTGATATAATCTTATAATTTTTGTTGTTTTTACTATTGATATGGTCAATTATGTTGACAATTTTTCTAATATTGAACCAGCCTGGTATAAATCCCAGCTGTTCAAAGTGTGTGATCTTTGTGAGATACTGTTATAATCTCCTTGCTAATATTTCATTGAAAATTTTTGCATCATATTCACTAAGGAAATTGATCTATAGTTTTCTTTCTCTATTTTTGCTCTCCATGGGTTAGGTAGCAAAGACGTATTTGTGTCATAAAAGGAATTTGGTAGGACTCCTTTCAAATGGTTTATAGAGTACTGGAATTAATTGTTCCCTAAACATTTGGCAAAATTCACTTGTAAATCCATCTGGTCCGGGGGGACTTTTTCTTAGGGAATTCACTGATGACTTGTTCCATTTATTTTTCTAAGATAGGGTTACTTAAATATTCTATTTCCTCTTCTGTTAATCTGGGCCGTTTATATTCTTCTAAATATTAATCCATTTCACTTAGACTGTCAGTTTTACTGGCATATTACTGGGCAAAATAATTCCTAATAAATGCTTTAATTTTATCTTCACTGATGTGTATTCACCCTTTCCTTTTTTGATACTAATAATCTGGTTTTCTTTCTTTTTTAAAAATCAAATTAACTAATGGTTTTCATTTTTTTAACTAGCTCTTAGTTTTATTTTCAATGGTTTTTTACTTTCAAATTTATTAATTCAATTTAATAATATCAATTTAGTAATTCCTTTGATTTTCAGGATTTAATTTTGGGGTTTAATTTGGAGATTTTTAATTTGTTCTCCTAGTTTTTTCAGTCGTCTACCCAATTCATTGATCTGCTCTTTTTTTTTTAAATTAATGTACATATTTAGAAATATAAAATTTCCCCTAAGTACTGCTCTGGTTGCATCACACAAATTTTGGTATTTTGCCTAATTGTCATTCTCTTTAATGAAATCATTGTTTCTATGATTTGTTCTTTATACCACTCATTCTTCAGGACTGGATTATTTAGTTTCCAATTAATTTTTAATCTGCTTCTATGACCCTTTACTGAATATAATTTTGACTGCATTTAATCTGAAAGGGGTGCATTTAACATTTCTCCTTTTCTGCATTTGGTTGTGAGGTTTTTATATCCTAATATGTGGTCAATTTTTGTGAAGGTGCCATGTGTAGCTGAGAAAAAGGTTATTTATTCCCATTCAATTTTCTCCAGAGATCTGTCATATCTAACTTCTGTAAGATTCTATTCATTTCCTTGACTTCCTTCTTGTTTTGTGGTTAGATTTATCTAGAAGTTGAGGTCTTCTACTACTATAGTTTTACTATTTCCTCCTGTAACTCATTTAACTTTTCCTTTAAGAATTTGGATGCTATGCCATTTGGTGTATATATTAGTATTAATATTACTTTACTGTCTATGGATCTTTTCAGCAAGACGCAATTTCTCTGCTTATTCCTTTTAATTAGGTCTATCTTTGCTTTTGCTTTGTCTGTTGAGCTGAAGCATAATATATTCTGCTCCACACCCTTATTCTTACTTTGTGTGTCTATTTCAGGTATGTTTCTTGTAAACAATATATTGTTGGATTCTGGTTTCTAATCCATTCTGTCATGTGCTTCCTTTTTAATGGTGAGTTCATCCCATTCACATTCATAGATATGATTGCTAACTGTTTTTTTTCTATCCTATTTACTTGTTTATCCTGCTCTTTTTTTCTTGTATTTCTTCTAAAGTCTGTTTTCCTTTTGACCAGGGCCTTCTTTTATCTGCCTTCCCTTTTATCATTCCCCTCCTCTCACATCCCCCACTTTTCCTCATCTCCTTCCCCTGCTACTTCCCTTTTGGGTAAGATAGATTTCTATTACCAACTGAATATTTATATTTTCCCTCTCTGAACCAGTTTAGATGTGAGTGAGGTTTAAGCATTGCCTGCCCTTCCCGCATTATTTCCCTCTCCACTGTAAAAGCTCTTTCTTTGATGTCCCTTTTATGAGCAATAATTTTTTCCCATTCTTCCTCTCCCTTCCCCTTCTCCTAGAAGATTCCTCTTTCTCACCTACCCACTTTTTTTTTACATCATTCCAACATAATTGACTCACTTCCACATCCTCTTTCTATGTAGAATCCTTTTAACTGCCCTAAGAATGATAAAGTTCTTAGATGATACATGTATTATCTTCCCATATAGAAAAGTAAATTTGAGTCCCTTTTAATTTCTCCTCCTTAGGTCTTGCATTTGAAAGTCAGATTTTCTATTCAGCTCTGGTCTTTTTATCAGGAATGCTTGAAAGTCCTCTATCTGATTAAATATCCACTTTTTTCCCTTGAAGGATTATACTCAGTTTTGCTGGGTAGGTTATTTTTGGTTGTAATCACAGCTCTTTTGCCTTCCAGAATAGGATATTCCATACTCTCCACTCCTTTAAAATGGTAACTGCTAAATCTTGTGTAATCCTGACTGTGGCTCCACAATATCTGAATGGTTTCTTTCTGACTGCTTGAAGTATTTTCTCCTTGACCTGGGAACTCTGGAATTTGGCTATGATATTTTTAGGAGTTTTCATTTGGGGATCTCTTTCAGGTGGTGATCAATGGATTCTTTCAAAGTCTATTTTACCTTTTGGTTCTAAAATATTGAGGCAGTTTTCCTTGATAATTTCTTGAAATATGATATCGAGGCTCTTTCTTTGATCATGGCTTTCTGATAACCCAATAATTCTTAAATAATCTTTCCTTGATCTATTTTCCAAGTTATTTCTTTTTCCAATGAGACATTTAACATCTTCTATTTTTTTTCATTCCTTTGACTTTGTTTTATTGTTTTTGATGTCTCATGGGGTTACTAGCTTCCAGTTGCCCAATTCTAATTTTTAAGGAATTATTTTCTTCAGTGAAGTTTTGTACCTCTTCTTCCCATTTGGTCAATTCTGGGTTGTAGTTTTTTTAAAAAACATTATTTTCATCAGTGAATTTGTCCCCCTCTTTTTCCATTTGGCCCATTCTTTTTTTTAAGGTGTTATTTTCTTCAGCATTTTTTGTACCTCTTTTACCAAGCTATAAATTATCTTTTCATAATTTTCTTCCTTTGCTTTCATTTCTTTACCTAATTTTTCCTCTACCACTTTTGATTTGGAAAATAATTTTTAAGCTCTTCCAGGAATTCTTGTTGAGATTGTGTCTAATTCTTTTTTTTTTCCTTTCAGGCTTTTCTTACAGCTATTTTGACTTCATTGTCTTCTTCTGAATTAGTGTCTTGATCTTCCCTGTCACCATAGTAGCCTTTTGTAGTCAAGTTCTTTGTTTGCTCATTTTTCCACACTATTTCTTGATTTGAAACTTTATGTTAATGTTGGGCTGTATTGTGGGGCAGAGGGGCACTGTTTCAAGCTTCAAGCTTTTTCACACAGCTGTTTTCAGAGCTAGTTCTGGGAGGCTGGAAGTTTTTGGTGTTTCCAAAATGGTGTGATCTGGGGTAAGATGTGGTCATTACTCTTCTGGTCAGCACTCTGGCCCTTACCCAGGAAGGGCCCCTGATCCCTGCCTGGCTGTGCTTCTGACTTTCTGTACTTCAGTACTATGCCCAGTACATCATCTTTTCTTCTCACCTCCCCACCCCCAACTTGTCAGCTTTTTTTTGTATATTATCTTCCCCTGTTAGAAAGCAAGCTATTTGTGGGCAGGAATTGTCTTTTTACTTATGTTTGTATTCCCAGTACTTGACATAGCTCCTGGAACATAGTAAGCACTTAGTGTTTATTGGTTTGCCTTGCTATACTAATAACCCCTCACATCTCCCATAAAAAGGAGAGGCATGGTCCAATTCTGATAACCTAGAACCAAACTATTCACTGCAACTAATGAGAGTTCAACTACCTTTTAGTGTGATTTTCATTTGAATTATTGTAATCATATACATTGTTCTATTGGTTCTGCTTTCTTCCAATCTACAGTACAATTTCTTTCCTCAAAACTCATAGTATTTATTCACTTAGTTATATAATGACATGTAATATTTCTCATGGAATTGTTTTACTTTCCACAGGATTTTGCCTTGTCTCCCTATCTAGATTACAAATGACCTGAGGACCATGTAGCATAACTCTTTGTGTCCCCCATAGAACTAAATGTAGTGCAATGAATATAGCAGGACAAATATACCATTTTCAGGTATATATAAAGCTATAGGAACTATCTTCTTAATAGAGAGCAGATAATTCTACGAGTTCTCTTAACTTTAAGATACTTTAAAAAAGGACTATATTTTGAAGAAGGAAACTTAGAAATCTAGTTAAACTTTAATATTATTTTCACCAGAGATATGAAATTACAGTATCTGAACAAGGCCTCAGACCTTTTGACTTCTGAATATGCTGTAAAACCCTAAAGAAGACTAGCTATATCAATATGCACCATATCTTATTAGGTACTTACAGCCAACTGCTGTTGCAGAGATTTCACCTGGTGCTGAAGTGTTTCTACCTGTTGGTTCTCTTTCTTTGTAGAATTCCCACTTGTGTAGGTAAGTTGTGAGAGACCATTAAGGGCCTGTTTTAGTCGTTCCACATCATTAAGCAGTTCTGTTATCTTAGAGAATAAGTTAAGAGGAAGAAAACAGTTTCTATTATCCACTCATTAACTACATACTCATTTGAAAATATTGCAGATCTCACACTTCTGTGAAGCTTTCCTTCAACTTCACCCAGAACAATTTAGAATACTAGCACTTGGGACACATTTATATGACAGGGCAGGAGTGGGGAGTGGAGGGAGGGATTAAAAGTATGACTGCTATTCTCCTAATTGTGCTTAAGGTAGATTGGAGTCAGAAATCATGGGGGTTGAAGAGCAATTGAGGAACCAGCAAACAAGGTTATGTGAAGGGGGCAGGGACCCAGGTAGAGAATAAGACTGTGCTCCAAGTACTGTTTATTGGGGAGAATGGAGATAAACTTGTAGGTTTGCAGATAATAGCAATAAGGATCTGGACAGGCTTTAAGGAGGTGATTGCTGAATAATGGAGGCAGAAGGGTCTGAAAGTGGCAGTGGAGAACAAGGAATGTACCAATTCCTTAGCACTAGCATGGCATAGTGGATATAGTGGTATACTTGAGGCCAGGAAGACCTGAGTTTAAATGCCACCTCTGATATTTAATGGTTGTATGACTATGGACAAGTCATTTAACCTCTCTGAGCTTCAGTTTCCTCATCTGTAAAATGAGACTAGATCTAATGACCTGTAAAGTCCCTTCCAACTGTATATCTGTGATGCTCCTCCTGGCTCTGTATATCATAGAATGTGAAAGAACAGCTAATATTAGAAAGTCTCAAGAGATATGGTATCTCCCACCATTTAAGAGGGAACCCAGGGAATTCACCCCATCGTTTCCCACTCAGTTACTTTCCTGGACTTCAAGGTATCCAGAAACTCATCATTCTGTAAGATGAAAGTAACTTTAAGATTAAAGTAACTCCGAAATTCACAGTTCCTCAGCACCCCCTGCCCCTGGGGCTCCTCCCTCCCTTTGGCTTGAGAAAGGGGTGGTGGAGGGGTGGACTTTGAAGAGCTTCTCCCAGATGCTCAGTTTGAGGAGGGCACCTCAGGAATTTACCTCATCATTTCCCAGCTCAATTACTTTCCTGGACTTTATGATCTTTAGAAACTCTTATTTCTGTAAGATGACATCAACTCTAAAACTGTCACTTTCTCAAATCGTTTCCTACCCTGGCTGCAGGACTTCCATCATGCCCCTACACAGGGTAACCTTCCCCCATCCCCCTTTTGAGCTTCTTTTTTTACATGCTGTCTTTTCCCATTAAATTTTGAACTCTTTGAGGGCTTGGACTGTTTATTCCTTCCTTTGCATCCCCAGTGCTTAACAAAGTTCATGGTACCTACCAGGTGCTATGTTTATTGACTGACTCTGGTATCTTCAATAGAAAACCAAGCCTGAGTGAGCAACAGTAAATGTAGGAAATTCAAGATAAAGAGAACTTATAGATCATAGATTTTGAACTAGAAAGGCCCTTAGAAGGTCACTGAGTTCAACATCTTACTTTTACAGATGAGAAAGAGTGATTGGCCCAAAGTCACACAGATAGTAACTGGCAGAGCCAGGATTCAAACTCAGGTGCTTTGAGTCTAAATCCAGTGATCTTTTTACTACACCACAACAAAAGAAAATTCTGAGGACACAATGAGAAATAAGGCAAAAAAAGTTACTAACTAGGGGAAGGTGAGATATGAGTTGCTTAATGAAAGGTGTGATGTAGTGTGCTCAACAGAAGACAGAAAGCATTCTGGAAAAGAAATGTAACATTCAAAGGACTCAGGGTGGTTGGCAGCTAGTGCTGGACAAGGGAATGGACCATTAGGGCAACTGGTGTCAGAAGGTGACAGGGCAACTGCATTCCCTTGCATGACAGTATCTAGAGAGCAGTCCCAGTCACCTTGTGCTAATTCTAGCTGTCACCTCAGCACATAACAGCCTTCTCTTCTTCTGAACCATGAGAATACTAAGTGTCTTTCATTTGGCACTGAAATACTATATTCTTAGCTATAGTTTCGGAGTGGAGCGGGGGGAATGTAGAAATATCTATCTGTAAAATTTCCTAAATGAGACTGTAAAAACTTGAAAGCAAAGCCTTTCATGTGGCTTTGCATCCTCCACAAAATGAAGCTTAGTACCTGGTTGCTGTAAAACGTATATTTAGTGCACTTTTTTTAATTGCCCAAGATAATTAGCATTTTATGTACAAGGAGGAGCAATAATAAATCTGAACTTCTTATCATGACATAATACTGGGTTTCATTTTCAAACTTAAAATTTACTTATACTTATAAAAGATTTACTTATTGCCTACCTTATTGTCTTTTGCTTCTATTTGTTTGGCAGATTCTTGCATTCTTCTTTGTAAATCAGTAATTGTTGTTAAGGATTTGTCACATCTCTCTTTCTGGTCCTTAATTTCTTGTTCAACACTTAAGCTCCTCAACTGTATCAATTCCTTTTCATCCCTTGCAGAAAGTTCTGCCTTTTTGGCACGTGCAGCCTCTTCACAAACTTCCTCATACTTTTTATTCAGGGTGGTCATATTTTCTGTTATATTGGTAATTTGTGCTTCTAAGGCATTCTTCACTGTGTTATATTCTAATAAATCAATAACCTCTCTAGATTCTAATTTCTTAAATTCTTGCTTCAAATTCTGAATCTCATTCTGGAGTTCAGAGATCTTTTCTGTTTTGTCTTGACTTTCTTCTTCTTTTTCACTCAATCTAGCTTTCATGCACCCAACTTCTTTCTCTAGCGCTTCCTTTATCTGCACATGTTCCACGAGGGACACAGAAGAGTGCTTTTGATTCTCTAACACCTGTTGCCATTCAGCTGCTGCCCGCTGAGCTTCCTCATGGTGCCTCTGCTTGTCCTTGAGCTCTTCTTTCAGAGACTCAATTGTGCCATTTAGAGAGTTTTTCAGCTCTTCAACCTGCCCCAAGGGAACATGTTGTTTCTGCAAAATTGCTTTTACTGCAAGTACCTCAGAGGTCTGTTTGGCATTTTCTTCCAGAAGTTTCTCTTTCTCACTTTTTACCTCTGCGTACTTCTCAGACAAATCCTTTAGCTGTCTGTTAAGCTCTTCCGTTTTTTGGTTTAATGTTTTTTCCAATTCACGGGAATTCTTGATGAGAATATTCTTATTCTTTAAATCTTTCTGGATCATGAGGATTTCATCCTTTAACTTTTCATTTTCTTGCTGACATTTCCGAGCCTCCTCTTCCCCTACATTGCATCTTTGTGTCTGTGTTTGCAATTGATCTTTGAGTTCCTTCACAGTGGACTTAAAGGTTTTCTCTCGCTCTTCAAAACTAACGATTGGAGCATACTTTAGCTTAATGCATTCTTGTATTGTGTCAAGTTCCTTCTTCTGGGCTTCAATCTCAACAAGCAATGCTAAAATCTCTTCCTGACCCTTATTATACTTTGCAAGTACTTCAGCATTATTTTCCTGTGCTTCTTTTAGACTTTTGTTAACAGCATTCATTTTATCTTCATGCTCTTTTATACTGATAAACTCAGCTTTCATTTGGTTCTTAGAATCCTCTAATATTTTTTTTAATGCTCCATTCTCATCTTTTATTTGTATAAATTCTTGTTTTATATGTTCAAGTTTTCTTTTCACATCTGTCAATTCTCTGTTAGTTTTATCCAATGTGCTACTTAATGCTGCTTTAATTTCTTCATGGGTCGTAACAGGCACATACTGTTCACTTATGGCCTTTTTCAGTTTTGCATTCTCAGATGTGATTACATGCAATTTTTCTTTTCCATCACCACATTTTTTATTAAGTTCTAAAAGTTCTTTTTTGAGTTCAATGATATTGGATTTTAGAGCCATTATCTCTTTTTCATGATTTTCTAGAGGGATATATGTAGCTTCAAGATGACTGACATTCTTACTTAAATTGTTTTTTTCCACCATCAGCTTCTCAGTTTCCATTTCTCTTTCTTTACACTTTTGTGTCACATCCATTAGTTTTTTGTTCAAATCATCAACTGTCAAAGCATGTGATTTTTTCATTTCTTCATTCAATTTTAAAGGAATATAATGAGTTTTCATCTCAATTGTTAAGTTCTGCGACTGTTGACTTAGTAGCTTATTATCTGCACAAACCTTCTCAAGTTCTTTCTGCAATGTCTGATTCCTCAAAGTTAACTCAGTGATCTTCTTTCCAAATTCACCTGACTTTTGTTCAAATCTGTCCTTAAGTTGTTCATGTTCTTCTGGCCTTACGTGTTGAGAAAGCTTAGCTTTATAATTCTCAAGTTCTCTCTTTAACTGTCTAAGTTCAGCCTGTGATTTTTCATATTCTCTTTCCATCTCTACAAACTTTTTTGCTTTCTCATTCACTTCATTTGATAATAAGCTCTTCATGTTTTCAAATTTTTCTGTAGGGATGGAGAGGGCCAACTTTGTTGCTAATTCTTTTAGCTGGCCTTCCATCTCCATGGCTTTTCTTCCTCTCTTCTCTCGCTCTATTTCAGACATGCTAAATTCTTTCTGCAACCGCTTATTTTCTTCTACAAGTCTCCCTTCACCCTTTTTAAATTCCTCTACTAACATTTCATTTTGTTTGATTTGGTTCTTCAGCCTTCCTACTTCAGCAGAAGCTCCCTCATATTTTGCTTTCATTTCTTTCAACTGCTCCCTTAGTTCTTCTGTTAATCTGTTACTTCCTGAAGCTGCTTCATTTGTCAAATGTTCCTTCAGAGCAAGAAAATGAGTCTGCATTTGCTTTACTTTACCTTCTGAATCATACATTCTCTTTTGCACATCTTTTAAAGCATCTTCCAATTGCTTTATCTGTTCATCAGAATCTTCCTTGACTCTTTCACATTCTAATGCCAAAGCCTTGCATTCTGCCACTTTATGGGCCAGTTCATTTTGGAGCTTAATCTTCTCCTGTTTAGCTGAATCACAAAAGGCTCTCATGGCATCTAACTCTTTCTTTAAAATCTCATTTTCAGAAACGGCAGTTTGACTGGATAAGGACAGTTCCAATGGTCTTAGCATGGATCTTGTTTGTATGTGGGCTGGCACTGGAATACCTGAAGATGTATACTAGAAGGAAAGAGAGAAAAAGGATATCGATTATATAAAGCCTAAAGAAAAAGCATTAATATACTCGTTTGCTAGGTTTATAAAAGTTCATCGAACTATTTAGCCAAAAAGTTACTAGTTATAAAGAAAAATTTATTTGAGGTGGTTAAGAGAAATTTTTTGTTATACAGTTGTTTCAGTCGTTTCAGACTCTTTTGTGAACCTATTTGGAGTTCTGTTGCCAAAGATACTGGAGTGAGTTGCCATTTCCTTCTCCAGCTCATTTTGCAAATGAGGAACCTGGGCAAACTGGGTTAAATGACTTGCCCAGGGTCACACAGCTAGTGTCTGAGGCCAGATTTGAACTCAGAGATGAATCTTCCTGACTCCATCCATTGCTCTACCTAGCTGCTCCTAAGAGAAATTCTACAACAAAGTAGTAACAACTAATTCTATTCATTAGTCTAATATAAGGATTCTTAACCTTTTTTCTTTTCTGTCATAGGCTCCCTTTGGCAGTCTGGTGAAGCCCAATGACCGCTTCTTAAAGTAACATTTTTAAAAGCATAAAATAAAATATATAGGATTAAAAAGAAAACAAATAAAAAGAAATGCAGTTGTCAAAAGATTTCAAAAACAAAGTTGTAGACTTCAGATTAAGAACCCATGGTCTAATACCTCACAGGGACACAAAATTGTCTTTTTTCCCCTTCTGCTCCCTACCCATAGGCCACAATTCAGTTCCATATAAGAACACACAACTCATTTTTTGTTTCACATTTCACCCATTTTAAAACACAGCATGTCAGGTTTGGAGTGCTTCAAGATACTGACAGAAACCATCGAAATTCCTTAGGTAAAAGAGAATCCTTATATTTATTAAATAAATAAATTTCCAAGTATAATGTATTAACTCAAAATTTTCATAGGACAGATGTCCAGGATCCATCCTCAACTTAATTTTATTTTTTAAAAAATATCAACTATACATAACAATTATAGTATTTTAAAAAGCAAGGTGTATAGACAGATTGTAGCAGAAAGTCTGTAATCCTAAATCTAGTAAAAAGGAAGAAAATGGGGATTTTCTTGAAGAAAAGAAAAAAATATATTTATTAGAAACATTAAAGAAGGTTGTAAGTAACAGGTGCCCATCAACTAGAGAATGGCTGAATAAATATGAAATGGAATATTATAGCACCGTAAGAAATGATGAAAGAAACATTCACAGAAACGTGAGATCTATGTGAATTAATAGTGAAATAAGTAATACAAGAAAAATAATTTATGTGAAGGATATATGTAATATAGTAAAGAAAAACAACTTTGACAGACTAGAAGTGCAGAATGAGACATGTGGCCAATGGGTAGATTTTTTTTTTTTTTTCGCTTAAGAAAGGAAAGAGATGGGGCAGCTAGGTGGCGCAGTGGATAGAGCACCAGCCCTGGGTTCAGGAGGACCTGAGTTCAAATCCGGCCTCAGACACATAACACTTACTAGCTGTGTGACCCTGGACAAGTCACTCAACCCCCATTGCCTAGCCAAAAAAAAAAAAGAAAAAAGAAAAAAGAAAGGAAAGAGTATCTGAGCATTTTTTCAAAAACGCTCAGAACAGAGAAGAAGTTTAAAGAGAGACACAAATAGGTACAACTTTGAAACTAACATGTTGAATTTATTTAATATTTTAAAAAATAAACTTTATAAACTTATGGTTTATATATAATCCTCTTTTTCTAATCTTTGTATATGGAAATGTTCATGTTTTATCAAATTTTAAAAAATGAAAAATAATTTTTAAAAGTTTACTTTGATTTGTGTTAATGTCTGGATCTGGGTCAGTCTTGTCTCCTAGAACTTGTGCATGGGATCGTAGATTTACACCTAGTGATACTACTACTGCATGTACAACAATGAGTCAAAAGGAAAAGAGAAAGGACATATATATAGATATAGATATAGATACACACACACACATACACACACACCATGTCAATAACAGCACTTTTATCTTTCAACAAAAAATTGGAAACTAAAGGAGTGCCCAATGACTATGGAATGGCTAAACAAATAGTGGAATATTGTCGTACCATAAGAAATGACAAAAGGATGGATCTTTTGTTAGGAGGGTTGCATTTATTTTTATTATTATAATTTGGAAGGTGGATTGTGATAGTGATCCAAAGAGAGAGAAAAAGAGAGAGAGAGACAGAGAGAGACAGAGAGAGAGAAGCTCCAATAAGGCATTTAAAAAAATACACAGAAGAGAACAGAAGGAGATTCAGAGGGAGATACAGACAAGCTGAACAAGTTTTAAACTAATGTGCTGAATTTATTATATACTTTTAAAAATAAAGCTGGAAAATGAAGATTCACAGTATCATATGCAATTTCCTCTTTTTATTTTTCTTTGTATATGGAAATACTCAAGTTTTTAAGTATGGTGTGTTTATACAGTTCCAGACAAAATTTTTTTGATGAATTAAAAAAAGACAGCTATTATTATACTTCATTAAGAGTTTTAATATAACATCTTACAAATATCAGCAATAGGAGAGAGTACAATTATAACAAGCTGCCCATTTTATATTCCCCTACCCCCAAGAGCAAACACAAAAACACTTTCCCCAGAAGCAGAACAGCAACTCATCCATGAGTTATAGTCTTACTCAGTTGGCTTCATGCATTTTGAGGTTAAGTGACTTGCCCCTAATCTGTCCAAGATAGAATCGGAACTCAATACCAGGTCTTCTTGACTCCAAGGCTACCCTCTAGAGGTTCACTATGCCACAGGGTCTCTCAATAAATATTTGATAAGTAACATGAAAATGATTTTAAGCACTTTGTTTTAGTATGATTATAAATGCTAATCAATTAAATTTGAGCTATCCTCAAACAGATTGAGAGAAAGGAAGTCAACAACATAGAAGCAAAGATAGCAATAATTTTCTCCAAGTGTGCTTATAAAGTAAATCTTAAGCTATGATGACCTAGTGGAAATTTATCAGTAGCTAATGTTACTATCAAGTTCATTGACAGCATCTACACTATCAGTATTCATTAGTAAGAGTTTATGCCTAAGATTCTTATGTTTTGTTGACATTTTACATTCCTTTGGAAACCATAGAATATAGCTTCCCTACGTGTTGTCTCCCTCATCACAATGAGGGCTCTTTGAGAACAGGGGCTCTTACTTTTCTATTTGTATCCCTGGCACTTAGTACAAAGCTTTATACATTATCAAGTACTTAATAAGTGCTTTATTCATTCATTCATTCATAAAATTTACAGTAAAGAACTTGTAGCTTATGTAGTCCAAATTATGTAGTTATTTTATGGATGAGAAAAACTGAGGCCAAAAAACATTAAATGACTTACCCAAGGTTAATGGCAAATAAAGGTCTCTTCCCTAACAAAATATGAGGAAAGTAGGAGAATAAACAGAGGGGCATATACTTTAAAAAAAAAAACCTAGATCGCTTTCTCACTTTAAATCCGATTTTCATTAAAGTTAAGTCTCTGGAACAGCCTTGTTTTCAAATGCAAGTAAAAAGCACACTAATTCTAAAAATAAAAGATTGCTTAAAAATTGTTCATGCCCCAGCTCCTCTTGATATGTACAAATAATTAAGAGCTGACTGAGGGGGGCAGATAGGTGGCACAATGGATAGAGCACCAGCCTTAGAGTCAGGAGGACCTGAGTTCAAATCCGGCCTCAGACACATAACTAGCTGTGTGACTCTGGGCAAGTCAAGTCACTTAACCCCAAATGCCTCACAAAAAAAAAAAAAAAAGCAAAAAAAGAGCTGAGGAGTTATCAATGAAAACATGTTAACCACAAACAAAAAGAATCTTGACTCACTTACGTTACTCTCACCAAAATTACTTCAGAGAGCACCAGAATGCTAAATCTTTTTAAGCCAGCCTTTGCAGTGGACAACAAATCTGTCACAAAGCACTAGAACTTGTTTCTCCAATAAGTAATTTTCTAAATACATAAATTCTGTTCAACATAAAAAATGGCATAAAAGCATAAGTAATTAAGAGTGGATTTTTTTATTTTTGTTCAAGAGAAAGTTACCTGTGATTCTGTAACAAAAATTTGATTCTGCTTATGAAGCATATCTTCTTTTCCTAAATTAACAAAAAAAGTAAATTATAATCTAAATTTTCATGCAAACGTAAAGTTTAAATGTTAGACTGGTTCTATAATTTCAACTTATTACATACAAAGAAAAGAAAAATGAGAGAAATATAAAAATATACTTAATCTCAATAGTTTTTACATAAAATAGAATCAATTCCAAAAGATAAAGATATTAAAATCACAGAATAAAAGAAGCCCCAAATTGGAAAGGGGCATAGAAAATATTGGTGCCAAGAATCTAGTCTATATTCTAGCTAACAAAAATCATCCAGTCTTTTCTTGAAGACATCCAGTGAGGAGAAATCCGCTACCCCCAGGGCAGTATATTCTGCTTCACTCAACCCAATTCAGTGAGCATTTACTAAGCACTTACATTGTCACAGGCACTAGTGATACAAAGACAAAATTAAATAGTTCCTGCCTTCAAGAAGCTTATATCCTATTTGTTAGGAAACTTATCCCATGAACAACTCTAAATCAGTCTCTCTACAATTGCTTCTCATTCTGCCTTCTGGGACTGAGAAGAAAAAAGTTCAATTCCTCTTCCATATGACAGTCCTTCCAATACTTAAAGATCTCTAAAAGCATGATAGAGAGAAAAAATTGTTGGATTTGAAATCCAACAGTTTGAAATCCTGAGAACCTGGGTTCAAATCCAAGTTCTATTATACTACATGTAGGGAAAGTCACTTGACCATTCAAATCCTTGTTTGTTCAAGTATAAAACGAGGGGCTTGGATTATATGATCTCTAAGGTCTTCTTTCAACCCTAAACTTCTAGTCTCATGTTTTTTCTTCCACAGACTAAACATCACCACCATCCTTCAACTTCTGTATGGCAAGATCAGGCCTGTTCCCATTCTGGTGGCCCTCTTCTTCAAACCTGGGAGATGATGTCAGCTTGTAAATGTCATTTCTAAAATGTGGTGCCTACAACTGAACACAATATTCATAATGTGTCCTGATCAGAGGGAAAAACAGTGACATTATCACCTCTCTAGTCCTGGACACAAAAGCCTCTTGAATTCAGTCTAAGACTGCTTCATTTGGTTAATAATGAGCTTCCAATTCATTAAAAAGCCCGGATCTTTTTCAGGTGTAGCTACTCCTATACTCCCTGTACTTTGGAAACTGTTTGAACACATGCTATTGGATCTTATCTCATATTTAACTGGCTATGTAACCCTGAGTAAGTCACTTCAGCTACTCTTCTCATACTAGAAGTTTTTTAATCTGTGTAATGGGGCTGATAATACTTTCACTGCCTGCTTCACAAAGCTGCTGTGAGGAAGACACTTTTAAGTAAGCCTTAAAGCGCTATAAAATGTGCTATTAATAAAATTTATGACAAGAGGGAGTATAACTAGTCATAAGTAAGTTGAATTGAAATCAAAAGGATTAAAAGACATTAAAGGTGTATTTAGCTAGAAGACTATGCAAAATAAAAGTACATCAATTATATATATATATGTGTATATATATGTGTAGTTAATAACTTGGCAACAAGTTATTTTTTTTAATCAATATTTAAGGAAATGCTATCTGTCTCTAAAACCAAAATACACACTCCCTAAAGGATCAATGTTCAAGGGATAAAACCAAGCCATTTATGAAGGAAAAAAACCAAACTGTTTAAAAGCCACATGAAAAGTTAGAGGATTGTAGATTTAGAACTTAGAGGTCAACTACTCTAAACCCCTCATTTTACAGATTTTACAAGAAACAACTCCAGACACTTGCCCAAGGTCACACAGGTGGTAAATGGCAGAGATGGAATATGAACCCAGATTTTCTGACTCTAAATCCATCACTCTAGCTACTATGCCATTCTACCTTCCCAAAAGAAAGTCATCAAAATACTTAATAAACAAAGATAAGCTTAAGATCCATTTTACATCACTAGAATGTGCAAAATATTTTTAGACAGATAAAATCTAAGATTAGCAGGACTATGGGGAAACAGGCACTTAAATACATTATTAGTCAGTCTAAAGAATAATCCAAAACATTCTGGACAGCAAAACACCAATATATAGTAAGAGCGTTAAAACTGATCACACTTTTTATCCAGTAGCTCATTGATAGGACTCTATCCTCCCAAAAATCATCAGGAAAGAAAACAGGTTTTATCCATACTAAAAAAAAATCTGCTTTAATTGTAATAACAAAATATTGGAAACTATGTATGACAATAAATTATGGTATGTTGATATAGTGAAATATTATGTGGTATTCAAAAAAAATGAGAAAATTTGGACTTATACAAATTCATGCAAAGTAGAGGAAAGAATGAGAGAAGTGAAGGGTTAGGGAGGCAGTAGACAGTAGGTTTGGTGGTGGGAAGGGGTGGGAGAAGAGAAAGGAAAGAAAGAAAACTGGATCAAAAATATGGAACTTTATGACACACTGACTAATATCATTCTTTCCTTTTAGTCAGGCATTTAATGTTCTCCATAATATCTTCCTTCCAACCTTATTTTCACATTATTCCCCTTCAAGAATATCCCAGAATAACTAGACTACCTCTGATCCCTACTTGGTCCCAAAAGGCAGAATTAATAGCAGTGGATTGAAATTACTCCCCCCACCACCAAAAAAAAAGGGGGGGGCAAATTCCAGCTTGATTTAAGAAATAACTTCCCAATAATTAGTTATCCGAAAGTAGGTTTCTATACCTTGGTTTCCTCATCTCAAAAACAAAGATAATAATAATAATAGCACCTATATCCCAGGGTTATTATGAAAATCAAAGGAGACAACATATGTAAAGTACTTTGTAAATCCTAAAGCCCTATAACTGTTACCTATTGTTGTCATTATTATTGCTGCTGTTTCTTCAAAGGGCAGGAATTTGTTAGGCATATTATAAGGAGTTTTCTATTTCTATTTTTTATATTCTGTTTTCTATTTCAGGTGTGGGTTAGCCTGGAAAATCCCTGAAGTCACTTCTACCTCTGGAATTCTATGACCTCATTGAATGTAGTCTCACAGGTTGTCCCTTATGCCTGGAACAGACGCTCCATCTATTAAATTCTTTTCTCCTTTTAAAGCCCAGCTCATAGAACCTCTCTTCCAAGTTCTAGTTCCCATTCAGATAGGTCACTTATAAACTTTCTGAGACACAATTTTCTCATTTGTAAAACATTTCACAGGAGTAATAATAATAACTGACATGTGTATAGTGCTTTAAGGTTTGTCAAGTACTTTACATCCATTGTCTCTTTTGATTTTCACAATAGTCCTATGGGTCAGGTATCATTACTCAGTTTCCTCATCTGTAAAACGGGGATCCATGATTTGCCTATTGTCCCACAGCTAATAAGTACCAGACACAGAATTCAACCACAGGTCCTCAAGACTCCAAGCCTAGCCCTCTTTCTACCATACCACACTATCTCTCTTCAATTAATCAATCAACAAGCATTTATTAAGCACTTACCACATGCTAGACACTGTGCTAGGCAATGGGGATATAAATATGAAGAATGAAACAATTCCCACTCTCAACAAGGACATATATAAATATGAGAATAAATACAAAGTATTTAAATGCATGGTAGTTTGAGTAGAGGGCACCAGCAAATGGGTAAGAAATCACAAAAAGTTGCATGTAGAAGATAATGCTTGAGCTGCATCTTGAAAGAAGAGACAAGTCCTATGAGGCAGAGGTGAATATATTCCAGGCATGGAAGGTGGCCAGCGAAAAAGCACAGAGATGGGAGATTGAGTCACATGTGACAACCCAAGAGAGGGGCAGTTTGGCTAGATTGTAAAGTATAGGAGAGGGAGTAATGTACAATAAGGCTGAAAAAATAAGGTGGGTCCAGGTTGTGAAAGGTATTAAAAGTTAACAAGAGGTATTTATATTTGATCCTAGAAGGAACAGGGAGCCAAAGGAGCTTACTGAGTAGGGAAATGACAGGGTTAGACCTGCGCTTAAGGAAATTCACTTTGGCAGCAGCATATGGGATGGACTGGAGATTAATTTGGAAGCCATTGCAATAACTAAGGTGAGAAGTAGTGTTACCTATGTGAGTGCACAAAATGCCTCCAACAATGTAAGAAATGGTACAGAAAGGTAAAAATAGTAAGTTTTGGCAACTAATTAGATATGTTGGGGGAGAATAAGTGAGGAGATAACGACAGCAACAAGGTTGCGAACTTAGGAGCCTGAAGGAAAGATGAGGAAATGCTCTGTTCCCTTACGAGGAAACATTCTGAAAAGCTTTAGGGGCTTTATAAATATAAGCCATACCATCACAATGAAGCATGTCCTGATTCCCCAGCAAAAATATACAGTAGATGGTTTGTTTATTTGTTAACAAAAGATGTTTGTTCATTTTCTTAAATGATCAGGTTATAGCTCGACAATCACAAAATGACTGTAAAACTGCTTATAAATATTTTAGATTTATCCTATATAAATACTGACAATTTCTTAATATGCATTTTCTCTGTTAAATTATATACAAATATCTTTTTTTATGTAACTTCTCTCTTACTATTACTTCTAGAACTTTGTTTAGAGACCTTAACTTATTACTTCTTATGCCCTTCTTGAGAGGCAGGGATTGGACTACTGTTTTTCCTTTTTGTATGCCCAGCAATCAGCAAAGTACTTTGCACACAGTTAAGAGTTTAATACATGTGGAGTAAGTCATAAAATATACAGAGGCACTAACTCAAGCATGATCAGAATATTAATAATTTGTGTCTCTAAATATAACTAGTTAATTCTCCATTAATTTTTGAGGTGTTATTTTTTGTGCATAAAATGTACAATTTATACATTAAGGTTTCAGAATTTCATTAGTATGGCCATTCCCTTCACCAACACTGATCATAACCTCTTCAAAAAGCCAGTATACTAACTCTGAAAATTACTGTGGCCAAAATATTCAATTAAACTATAGCTAAATTGGGGATGAATCTCTCCAAATAGGAACTCAGAAGCCAAACTGCATCATCAAGTTGATACTCAAAGCCTTTCCATCTTGGTGGAAAGTGTCAGAGCTTGTGCTCTGATGACAGTTATTAGAAAACCAGGGCAACCTCCATACCAAAATGAGCCAGCTGAGAAGAACATTAGTAAAGGAGAAAATGTAGGTATATGTGTACATATTGTGTATGTGTATAAGTTGCATTTCAGGCAGTTTAAAGTGGAGAACAATGAAAAAACTTGGAAGTTACACCATGCATGGCTTCAAGTTATAATAGTGGTTTCTTGAAATTTCAAGAAGTTTTAAAATATTTACTCATATTTCTTACAATCATCTTCAGGAATGTATGCAATAATTTCCCTTAATATGTGAGGGAGAGTATCTTCCTTTCAATTTAAAGAAAAAATAAGTCTCACTTCATGATATGCAAAGTCAATCTGGTAGAACAGACAATGACTATACAAAAATGTGCTTTATATAAATATAAAATGTAAGGTTAAAATCTATAAGTAACATACTTAACTCTGGTTGGTTCCATCTAGTCTTAGAGAAGTGCAATATATTGGTAATTAGATTAAATTTAGCAGCACCATCAAGAAGAGTTACATTGAGTAAGACCAAATAACCATTTTTCTCGTTATAATCTAAATATGAAGTATAATTTGTATTTAGGTACTTACGATTATTGAAGTTTCCTCCATAGTCGCTCTGAAATGAGAAACACAAATTATAACATTTTAAATGAGAAGCTGCTTTATTTTACTCAGTTCTACATTGGTATGATACCTGAACAACCACTATAAAACCTTCTTAATGTCAGTATCAAGAAAATAACAAAAATAACAGCTCACATTCATTTTAATCTTTAGAGTTCAGAGTGTTTTACTTAGGACAGTGAAGTTGGTGGTTCAAGTGTGCCTTCAGTCTACTTTATAGGGAAAGTAGAGCTTCAAAGAGGTTAAATGATTTGTTCCTGGTCACACAGTGAGAAAGTATCAGAACTGGGATTCAAAACCCAGGTCACCTGAGACCAAATTTAATGCTCTTTCCAAGACATTAGGCCATCTGATATACTTCACTTATTTCCACTGTAAAACATTTTGCTCAAAATCCACTAAAATTACATGTATTTAATAATTTGTTAGGAATAAAGAAATTTACTACACTTTTTTTTTAATAAAAACAGACAATATTATGAGAAATGCATATTTTCTGGGCATAACTCATATACTTGCCTACCTAGGAGAAATAGACTGGAAATAACTTCAAAACATCTTTCAACATACTTGCTATTTTTGTTATCACTGTAGAGATAGAAGGGTAGAAGGCCACCTAACTTCCTATAACTTTTCATGACAGGAGTGACTCAATTTTGAAAACTGTCCTCCATTTCATCCAAAGCAAGAAGGCAAACGCCTAGTATTTTAAAACCTTTTCCATCTATTGCCTTGTCACTAGACAATGATGAAATTCTTACAGCAAGGCTGAAATGCAGATAAGCCTGCCTCTAAGACTAATGCCAATGGTTATGGGACAGCTATGGGGTTATGGGACAATACATGGATAAAGTAGCTGGGCCAGGAGTCAGGAAGACTGACTACTCAAATGTAACCTTAGACACTTACTAGCTATGTGACCCTGAGCAAGATACCTTTCATAAATCAAGTTGGGACTAAAAGGAGGTCATAGGGAGATTCCCAAAACTTTAAATTTCCATATATTTGAATTGTTCTTGATCCCACATAATACAAATACATAGATATAATGTACATCTTGATATGTTATTATAAAAATAGCATATGTGTACATGTGCATATATTTATATATATTTTTGTGGGTGAAAACACATACTAATAACATTTACAAGTCCATATTCTGGTGTGAAAATTATAAACAATATTATAACTAAATTATCATTATTAAGTACTAGCAACTAATTATTATTGTATTATGTGCATGAACAAGATCTTTTACATATAAAATTTAACACTAGTCAACAAACAAAACAAGCACTGCAATATACCTTCAAAGTAATTCAAAAAGCAAGTTTTCAAGGTAATTTATCAGTGCACTGGAGATAGTGCAAATAGTTTTTTTGGTAACACTTTATTAAAGATATTTGCAAACTAGATATTATGTCAACTGTAGCTGTTCATGACTGACTTAATCAAAAAATGACCACTCTTCTACACGCATGGTCCCCAGATAAATTCGGTATTGTGATAGGTTATAAAAGGGTAAAAAAGTTTCTCATTTAATTTGTTGAAGTTTATTAGAAGAATACTTTCTGTTAACAGGATATATATCAAAGGAGTAGATAATTACATTTTTAAAACAGTTAAAAAACTTAGGAGCTATTCAAACATTGCTATAATGTAGGGAATAGTACCTACCTCCAAAGGTTGTTGTGAGATATATTTGTAAAACACTTAACACAGTGTTTGGCACACAGTAGGTACTATATAAATGCTTCCTGAAGTTAAGAAAGGTTAAGTGACATGCCTATAGTCACAACAGCAGGTATGAGAGGTATATGCACATAAAACAGGTCAAAAGAAGTGAGAATGTACTATCTCTGTATTCAAATATGACACTATACCTTATATGAAAATGTTTGAAGCTGTTTTACCAGTAACAGTTATGGATATGTCCTGAGTAAGTCATACATTCCCCTGTATCTCAGTGACTAATAGTATCTATCTGAAATAGTCACTTGGAGCAGGTCTGTGGTTATAGAACAGAAAAAAGCTAACTAGTTCAATGGTAGGTCAAGTCTGACCATGGTACTCCAAATGAAATAAACTTATGAAAACATACAATCCTTGAAATTTTGCTATCTACTTGTAGGAATAAGTCATTTTTAGTGAACCTACACATAGAGATATCTAACCTGCAGAAAAACAACAACTTGCAAATTTTTAAAAATAAGAAAAAGTAAGTTTAAAAGTAATTAGATTTGTCCCCTAAAGTTAAATTGAACCCATGATTCAACATTGATACCTCATAATATTTAAATCTATTTTTCAGAGCTTCAATAGTCCTTAAGCTTTCTTCATGCTGTTTTTCCTTGGCTGTTAAAAGGGATCTCAGTTTTTCTTTCTGAAATGAAAAGAAAAAAAAAACCTAAAAACCAGGAAGTCCCTATACTGATGAAACCACAGATCGGACTGACACTGCCTCCCTACCTCCTACCCTACTGAAGTCCTCAAATAACGGAAAACTTCATGATATTGTGACAACATAATATTTTACCACTGCAAAACCACATTTGTTGAAAGATTAAAAAGAAATGAAAGAATTTTAGCATTAGAAGGGACTATTATGAATTATCTAGACCTGACAACTCACACTCTCGTTTTCTCTCATTACTTGACAACCCCCTTTCCACCCATAAAAATCTATGCCCTCAATCCCGTTCTCCTGATTGGCAACTCTCAAGCAGAAGCCACCATTTCACAAGGGGTCCTAGCCCTGTTCACTTCACTCCACTCTCTGGACTTCTCTATCTCCATACCAGCTGCCTTACTTCCTTACTTACCTCACTTTCTAGATCCCCTTTATGTGTTGTCTTTCCCCTTAGAATGTAAGCACTTTGAGAGTAGGGATGCTCTTGTTTATTTATATTCCCACTTTAACATAATACCTCAGGTATAGTAAGTACTTAGTTCTCTCTGTCTGTCTGTCTCTCTTTCTCCCTCAACTTTACAGGTAGAACAACTCTGAAGTTGCATTAACTTGAGATTAACTTGCAAAAAAAACAAAACAAAACAAAACAAAAACCCTTCTGGCTACTTAACTGGACTTCATCATCTCTTGAACTCACTTTAGAAACTATCTAGATCTCTAGAAACTCACCAGTCTGCAAGATGAAATCAACTGTGAAACAAACATTCTCAGATCATTTCACATCCTGCCTGCAGGACTTCATCATACCCGAGCTGGAAGCCTCCCACACCAACACCACTACCACCACCACCCCCATTAGATCGTGAGCTCTTTGAGAGTAAGGACTGTCTTTACTCTTCTTTCTATACTCAGCACTTAACACAGAGCCTAAAACATAGTGGGCACTCAATAAGTGTTTATTGACTCTGATAACTAGGACTGGAATCTAAGTCTCGATTCATAATCTAGTTCTTTATAATAGTGTTATGTAGAATTTTTACACGAGCATCTTTTCCTCCAAAAAGCTTTTTTTTCTCCTACCTCATTTTCAAGGTCATCAGCAACCATTACTTCCTGAAAAAAAGAAAATTAATTTCAATATTCATAGAAAATTTTAAAAATAGATGAACTTTGCATCCAATAAAAAGAAAATAACTTCATATTTAAAAACATATCATCAATGACAGGAATATGAAGATAAGAATGAGTACATACAAAAATTATTTATGGCAATAAATTTGTGATCCTATGTGGGCTTACGAGTTATTTTCATATAGTCATCTTGTTGGTGTAGTAGACAGAAAAGACCTGACTTCAAAGCTAGGATGTCCTGGGTTCAAGCCACTGGCTGAGTAAAACTGGGCAAGTCACAACTCCTCAGTGCTCTAGGTTATATTCTTTAAGACCAGGTTGGGGAGAAGATGTTAACCTGAACTGGTAGAGGGAGTTTCCTCACTGAGGAGTTCCCCACATCAATGAAATCACAAGTTCAGTCTCTATCTCTATCCTCCTCCTGCTTTCACCCAAGTTCAGTTTCTCACTTATGTCTGACTCCTCTACTTCTTGCATACAGAATCAATAGTCAAGTTTCATCAATTTTTCACATCCCTCCCAACCAATTCTTCTTTTCTGTTTCTACTGTCACTTTCATTCAGGCCATTATCACACTTGCTACTTATATGACTTTATATGACTTTTGGTGATGCACTTAAGCTCTCTGGCTTCAGTTTCCTGACCTGTAAAATAAGGGGTTGGTATATATGGCCTCTGGCCTACATGTCCATTCAAGTTCTAAATTTTTAAATTAAAATTTATTTTCAAACAAAGATCAGTCTTCTGAGCAGGTGGCATATTGGAAAGAGTGCTGGGTCCGGAATCAGCAAGACTTCAGTTCAAATTTAGCCTCAGATACTTACTATGTGACCTTGGCTAAGTCATTTAACTTCTGTTTGCCTTTCTCACACGTGGATGAAGGGGAGACTCCCTGAAGACCAAAATGACAAGGCTTATATGGGTTTGATTTTAGGCAGGAAGTGAATTGGGTAGAGTGTACCTCTGGATTGGAGAGGGCTTGTTGCTGGGGGCTTACAGGGTAGGACTAGGGGATATAGTATTGGTTCCTAAATTTCTGGTTTGGGGTTTTAGTTCTGGCTCTGATTAGTTTTGGCACCAACAATTTTATCCACAGTTTCTATTTTGTAAATGAAAATGCTGAGATTTTTTTTTTAAGTTTTCTTTTTCACAAGTAAAAGAAAATGCTCCAAGTAGATAGAAATTGTATATTAACTGCTACATTTCTACATAATTTCTGAATTAAAGTGCAAAGATATCAAGTCTCTATGAATTGTATTTTAGATTATGTAATCATCTATATCACACCTACTAAACTGTGGATATACCCCATAACTTTGTCTTATGTCTTTCTTCTCTTTCCTTTCTATACTCTCCACTTGGTGATCTTAACAGCTCCCAAGCCTTAATTATCAGCAATATACAAATTCACAGATATTTACGCTGAGTCTGTTTGCTGAGCTTCAGTCCAACCTCACTAATTATAGTAGGCATTTCTAGCAGGATTTCTGGTAAGCATCTCAAAAAATCAACATATCCAATACAATTCATTATCACCCCCTCTGCGCCCCATCTCCCCTCTTCCAAACTTCCCTCTTACTGGGGCAGCTAGGTGGTGCAGTGGATAGAGCACTGGCCCTGAAGTCAGGAGGACCTGAGTTCAAATCTGGCCTCAGACCACACTTGACACGTATTAGCTGTGTGACCTTGGGCAAGTCACTTAACCCCAACTGCCTCACTAAAAAAAAAACAACAACAACAAAACAAACAAACAAACAAACTTCCCTCTTACTAGCAAGAGCACCACAAACCTTCCAGTCACCCAGGTTAAAAAACCTGGCATCATCTCTGACTTTCCATTCTCACTCTAGACAATAGTCAATCAAACCTTCTTCCCACCTCTGCTACTGTACAAATTTCACTCATCCTTCAAGGACGATATCTCAAGTCCTACCTTCCTAATCATATCAGCCTACATTAAACGCTCCTTTGTCTAAAGTCCTATAGCACTTAATGGATATGCTTCTTTGTACTCTAACTCTTCTTTCTGCATATTTGTCTTCACTCCTCAACTAAACCATAAGCTCCATAAGGGTACAGAGACCATAAGGCTAGCACAATGCCTCGCACTATATAGTGCATGCTTCATAAATATTTCTTAAGGATGGACATTACTTGGGGTCATTTTTTTAATGTCAATATGTATTATACACAGATTATACCTCATTTAGCTGTAGTTGCAATCCATTGACTTTATCTAACAATATTCTTTGTTCTTGTTGAATATTTCTCAACTTTTCTTTCAAATCTTCATTTTCAGCCTCTAGATCCTTAAAAACACATTGAGAAATAACGAGAATTAACAGGTAAAGGGGCAATTTAAAAAGAAAATTTCTTGTTAATAGAACCATAAATACATTTTCTCAGTCTCTTAAGTCAGACACAAAATAACTACTGAAATGCCAACCAAGTTAAAAAATTAACTTTTAAGAAAATAAATACACATAATAATAGTAATTAACATTTACCTAGGAATTCAAAGTTTACAAAAAACTTTACATTTTAGCTACAGTCCTCAAACTGTGCACCATGGCAAATTCACAGGGGCATAATAGGATATTTAAAATTTTCAAGGAAAACTCAAGGATAAACATCTGTTGGTCCCTTAGTGAACCACTACCTTCATAGAGGTTCACTGCTTCAACATTAGAAAAGACTACATTTCCTCTTTCAATGATATTCTACTTGAGAAACGTTTTGTTCACTTGTACTTTTCAGCTGCGCCAACTGCTTCTCTAACTTTCTCATTTGTAACATGTTATCTTTGCAAAGTTGGGTTTTCAGCAGTTACTATGATAAAAAGCAAGTACTATGCAAAAATCAACATAAAATAAAAAAGAAATGAGGATATTGGTGTCCAATCTGATTCCAAGGTTTGAGAAGCTGTGCAATGCCTAAAAGGTACACACACTTCATTAGTAAATAACTGTGGTTAAGAACGAAATAAAAATAATACTTTTTCTTTTACTCTATATGTATTATTTTTAATTAGCTATTAAGTAATGAGGACATATTTATTCAGTTGTCTTGACCTAACTACTTAATAAACTGAACTTGTGGGTATTTCTTTTGGATTCGGTGCACCGTGAAAAAATTACTGACACACACTAATGGCACCATGAACTGAGAAAGTTTGGGAACCTCTGCATTGTCTCAATTGAACTTCACAACAACCTTGTAAGGTGGGTACCAAAGGGATTATTATCCCCGTTTTAGAAATGAAAAAACTGAGGCTCAGGGATGAGTTAAATGGCATGCCAGTGGTCACACAGCAAGTGTTAGAGGCAAGATTTTAATGCTCGGGTCTTTTGGACTCTAATGCTAACATTCTACCCATTCTACCACATTGCCATTGTGCCATCATAATAACAATAAATACTAGTATTTAAAAATTAGCATATGAAGGATACTATTTCGGAGAAAAACAAGGCAAAAAGAGTCTGTTAACCAAATGAATCAGAACTATTTTTAGTTTTAAGCCTCCAAAATCTGTAATGAGATCATCCTTAATAATATTTTACTGTTGACAAACAGTAAAACACTTAGGTCATCTGGTAAAAACAAATGAACAATACTAAGAAGTATTTATTACAACATCTATAAACATCTTTTCCCAAGGACAATACATGATAGAAAATGCACAAGAATATGAAAACCAATTGTGCTCTTGTCTTATTAAATAAAAGCCACTATTGGTATTTACATATAAATTACTTTGTCACGTGTTTCAGCATTTCAGCCATGTAAACCACATAGTCACTGTTTCTACTCCAACAACAATTTGTTTTTTTTTTAATAAATATTATTTTTCTTTCCTCAATACACCCAGAAGCTACAGGATATCACTATTTTGAGTAAGTCCAAACAAGGCAAACCAAAACAAACCAAGTTCAATTAAGACAGCAGATAGCTATTATGCTGGGATTTCTTTTCTAGCTAATGTCTTGAAGTAAAGACCTGTATTTACGTCTTTCTTCTGACATAGACATGATATGTGGCAAGTGATGTAACTTTTCCGTGCCCCAGGTAACTCTCAAAAACAATACATTATAGAAAAAGTGTCAATCAGAATTGATATCTCAAATGTGTATACATATACATATATAAACATATACATATTCACACACATACAAGTATATATAAATGTGTGTGTGTGTGTGTGTGTGTGTGTGTGTGTGTGTGTGTGTGTGTTTGTTTGGACTGGATCTGTGATTTCATTGACATAAAAAAACTACCAGTGAAAAACTTACTGTACTTCCAAATGCTATGTAAATTAAATGGTGTCAACTAAGAAATATTGGAATAATTCATTTTTCTTTTAAAGGAGAATCAAGCAATAATAGAGAATCCACAATAACAGAAACAAACCTATCCAAATACTTTTGATTTTACTGTTCAAAGGAACATACCATTTCTTTGAGTGTGCCCGTCTCCTGGAGCATTACCTGAACATTTTTCTGCTCCCTCTGATATGATTTTATATTTACTTCATCTTGCATAGGCAACAGATTTCGCTTCGATGGAACATAAGATACCTATATTATTACATTAAAATGTAACAAGGTAAAGCTATGAAAGAATAAAAAGCCTTTAAAAAATCTATTTTGAAGAAAATGTTAAACTTAGCATATTTTGCTTGATGATCTAGGTTAAGCTTTGCTCTATATTACACAAGGTGGCAGTATTTCTATCCATAAAACCAAAAAGTCCATCTCACTGAAAATGGAATTCACTTTCAAATAACTGTCATTTAAATAATTTTAACCTATTATTTGAAAACCTCAAAATACTAAATTACTTGAGTATTAAAGCCATTTTAAAGCACAATGTCTTACTTAAATGTATCAAATTCAAATCAATATAATAATTTCAACAAATATATTCAAAGAAATGATCATATAACTCCAAAATTAAAAATCATCAAAAGAATATGTTCAAGCAAAGTGACACTTTAGGATTATAATACAAAAAAACAGGAGCCAAATCCATACTGATTTTTCTCTTTGTATTCCTATCACTTAGCACACTGTAGACACTTAATAAATGCTTGTTGAATGAATGACAATAAAGAAAGCATTTCTCTGGTTGACAAGGAGAAATAAAACTTGTAAGCTTTCTTTCATTCTTAACTAGCATGCATATATATGTGTGTGTGTATATATAAATATATATATATATATATATATATATATACACGTATATATCTTTTGAACAGGGATGACAAGACTTTACATCAAATGGATGGGATACGGTATCAGCAAAATTCATTCCAAAAATGACTTATTATAACCTAAAACATTATTCATGAACATGTCAGGGGAGAAATTTTTGCAGATTCTAAATTTTATCAGCAAGTCAGCAATCTAAAACTAATATATAACTAAATAACATAACAGGTTATGTTCCTATAACATTGGGAATCCAAAAATATGTAAGTATATACTTACCCCACTTTAGAAATTAGAAAAATGAGGATTAGAGATAAATTAAATGACACACTGAAAAAAATTTAGATTAAAGACTCTCAGTGTTCAGCCAGGAATGATCAGGAAAGAAGTCTTGAACCTGAAAATCCTCCATCAAATCATTACAAAAACCACAACCTATTTAGATTTTTTAAGACATTAAATTTATGTCAATTTGGTAGCATTTGTCTTTTCAATCCAGTAACCCATGGGAAGTTTCTCTTCATTATATTTTGGAATGAGGGCTTACCGGCTGGAAAGATGGTCCTTTCTTTGAAGATTCTCTCCCTAAAGAACAAAAAAGGAAGGGATGAAAACAACTAACAATAAATTATGTTAGACTGGATATACATAATTCACAGAATTACAGAATTTTAGATTTGGAAGAGACCTTGGAAAGCATGTAGTCCAGTCTCCTGCCATAAACCAGGGCTAAAAGGTAAAGTGACTTCACCTGGCCCACACAGTTACAGTGGCAGAGAGGAGACCCCAACATATATCTCTATACTGCTTTTCCCTATTTATAATTCACTGCTTCCTTTATCTTTATTATTTTTTATCTAAGCTGATTTTCTGATTTTATTCATTATCATTTTATTTCACTCAAAGGAAAAAGTTCAAGAATTTTTAACATATACCCGCCTAACAGGGACAAAACCATTTCTAAAAATAGTACTATTATGACTCCACTTCAGCTTTCTTTAGGTTTCTAAACTACTTCCCAATGGATTAGAGTTGCCACAATAACCAAAGACTCTGCTATGGCACAACTAGCAGTAAATTCTACTTTAAGGGATCTAAAATAACCAAGTAAAAAATATTTTATATATCTGTATAAAATATAATATATAAGGAAATAGATATTTAAGAGATTTACTGAGACAAACTTTTTTTCCAGCAAAGTTTTCTGTTCTCAAAAGTTCAAATACTAAAATTTCTATATGTATTGTTTTGCTTATTTTAACTTGGTTTGCCTAAATTAAGATAACATATCCTAATGAATCATTCACCCTGGACATCTCCTTGCCAGTCTTACTGCTACAGCATGCATACTACAATACTCTCCACCCCAATGCTCAGAAAACAGTAATCAAACCAATACTACCATTGACTCTGGAAAGGGCATGTCTTTGGCAGGCACTATCTTGTTTTTGTATTTCTATCCTCAAAACTTAGTACAATGCTTGACACACAGTAAGCATTTAATATATGCTTTTTATTCATTCATTCATCCATCAACCCATTCATTTATTCATTCAAAGTTAAGGAAATTTCTGGGTACCTTTGTTTGCATTTTCAACTGCAGTCTTCATTAAGGTTAGAATGTCCAGATTATCACCAATTCTTGCATAGTAAGAACTATCATGACCAAGGGCATCCAACAAGCTGACATCTGCACCATTTTTAATTAAAACTTCCACAGCATCCTTACAACCATACTCACAACCTAACATAAGTGCAGTCCTAAAACAAGACACAACCACAATAATGAATCATTGTAAGGAAACATTTGATAGAATTCAAGAAAACTATGGACTGCAATCCCCCTATGATTCATTAGATAAATCCTAAAGAGTTGCCTGAAGAATGATACAATGGTTAAATGACTTGCCTAGTCATACAGCTACTAAGTGTCAAAGGTGGGATTCTAATTTAGGTCCTACTGACTCTATTTAATACACACCAACATCGTTTCAAATAAATTAGGAAATTTGGGTATTGCTTTGATGATAGTTGACTTTGTTATAAAACAACAACAGGTTTGTTTCAGGAGGTTTGATTAACTGAGATATTAACTGAGACAAAAGTCATCATTTCTTTCTCCTCTTTCCCTCTTTTATCTCACTGAAGAAATTTAAACAATTGATATAATTGAAAGAGTTCCTTTTCATTTTAACTAATTCACATACTTAAATTACACTATTTACATATTTAAATTCTACTATTTTACAAGTCAGAAAATTATATCAGATATCAGAAAGTCAAATTATAAATTAAACCAACACACCAAAAATGTTATTTTTTTCAGGTATCTTAAGTAAACTAACAATTCAATTTGTTGAATATTAGTTTTAAGTAGCTTTCATGTGGCTATTGAATAAGTCTCTGGTTTGCCTTATGCATCTTACCTAGCTTGCTATTTTTTAATGAAATTATGTTTAAAAGGATTCAATTTTCATAATCTTAAATCATTGATTTAAGGTGGCCCCAGTTCTGAATAAATCTGCCATGAAAATATATTTACCAAAAAAAACAAAAAAAAGAAAGAAAGAAAGGAGAAAGGATAATAATAAATTTGATTAACTACTATTTGTTTTACAAAAGATTCACCATAACAGCCAGTCCTTAACATAGTTAACTCCTGCTTTAATTCAATTTATATAGAACTTTTCATGAATATACATCTATTGCATAAAATGGGACAGGCATTTCCCGGTTGGTAGGGCCCACATAAACATGAAACTAAATTTAAAAGAATTAGCCACTTAATTACTGAATTAACATTACCTGTTTTGTTTGTCTCTGACATTAACATCTGCACCTCTATCAATAAGAAGTTGGCATATTGCTGGTCTGCACATCTGAGTGGCCAGTATCAGTGGTGTCCGCCCATCCTAAACAGTAATAAGAAGACAAATTGAAAAGTCAACAAGCATTTATTAAGCACCCACCATGTAGCAGTCACTTTGCTAGGTTCTGGGGATACACAGAAAGGCCAAAAATAGTCCTTTCCCTCAAGTAGCTCACCATGTAACCAAAAAGAAATAAAGAAAAGCAGTTATCACCTACATTATATGAACACATATATATGAATATAACTTAACTTACCACGTCTCTGGCATTTACTGAGGCTCCATGGTCACAAAGTAGCTGTATGCTAGAAGTACAATCTGCCATTGCTGCATATTAGAAAGAAAACATATCAGCATATGTTAAGTTCTCCTATCAAGATAACACACAAACTGTTTCTACCTTTTAAAAAGCTTCACAACCTCTGATACACTGGTCTCGATGATACAGACTATCACATTTCTATTTTAAGAATTGTTCGACTAAATCATTTTAAAAATACTGTATTAATTCACTTTGACTAAACAAATTACTTTTCTCTATTACAAGAAAATTTCCTTGGCCGTGAACAGAATGTGCTACCATGCATAGAAAAACATGGATAATTAAGATCAAATTTAAATTTGCTACTTATTCTCCACTTTTATACATGGTAATTAACTGTCCTGCATCTCCATATGTCACCTTAACTTAAAAAAAAAAAGTCAAATATATTTCATAAGGTTGTCTTAAATAAATGTGTTTCATCTGTCTGCTGATTTCTTTCCAATGTAAAAAACAGGGTCAGATATTCTAGTCTTTACTAAAAGTTTTTTAAAAAACAAACTGGCTATTTTTAACATCTAAAATAGAGGAAAAATAAATAGTATATTCATGAATCAGAGGAATTTATAATCTTGTGGAAAAAAAACTGCATCTGCTCATTCCTCTGAGGTATCAAGATGAAAAGAACATTGGCTCAGCAGTGTCTGTGTTGTGAAATTCTGTCATACTTTCATTTCTGAATGTCTTTTGATCAATGCAAAATATTTTACTCAAAACATTTATTGCAAGCATAAACAAAACCTTAATTCATAAAATTCTTAATTATAAAACCATCATTCTGTTTTTGTTATACATTTTAAAAAGTAAAATATGCTTAATATATTACATTAAAGTGTCATTTGACACTAAACTATGACATTAAACAAGTGAAATGTGATCCAAAGATATAATTATCTATTAGATACATGGTAATATTTAGTTTTATCAATTTTATGCTTTGAATATATCATAAAGTATAGTTTCAGAAACTCTGTCTTAAAAGAATGAAAAATATAGAGAAAATCTTAAAGAAACTAAAATATATATCTTTTAGAAGTAATAATAACACAAAAACCAGATCATTTTTATGTTAAAAATGAATTTCTCAGTCCTACTATATTGTTTCTCACACTAATAATAACTATCTTTCTATTAAATAAAACTATAGAAAGGAAAACTGGTTTAAACAGTTAAAGAAATTCGTTGAATTAAGTAATAGCAAACTAATATAGTATGGTGGAAAGAATCAAAGAGACTGAGACTGGAGTTACATCTTCACCAGTATATTCTCTTTGAACCTGGGGAAATTACTTTACCTTCTAGAGCTCACTTATTCATCTATAAAATGAAGGAATGAACATGTTTTCTAAAGTTCCTTCCTGCTCTAAAATTCTGTGTTTCTATGACTCTGTGTGTGTGTGTGTGTGTGTGTGTGTGTGCGTATTTTTATATATATATATATATAAAATATTGAAATACAAGAAGTCAGCTTAAATATATATTTAAGCTGACTTCTTGTATTTCAGTCCTATTTTCATCCTTTTTTTTCATATTTAGAGAGAACTTTCAAAATGATAACTCAGTCACACAAGTACTAATTATACTGTTGTAAAATTATTAGTGCAGGGGCAGCTAGGCGGCACAGTGGATAGAGCTCTGGCCTTGGAGTCAGGAGGACATGAGTTCAAAACCAGTCTCAAACAGATGACGCTTACTAGCTGTGTAACCCTGGGCAAGCCACTTAATCCCGACTGCCTCACCAAAAAAAAAAAAAAAATCATTAGTGCAAAACCTTAATAAAAGTAAGAAAATAATGCAGTGATAGGAGGACTCATCCATAACACTGCTCAACTATTTTTTTTAATGAAAATACTTTTTAAGAACCAAAGGAAAAACTGGTCAACATTCTAAAAGAACACAATATGCCAAATATGCATTTTAAATAGATAGCATTTTAAAAAAATAAAAGTAATTTTAAAAAATTTTAAAAGAAACATTAAGAAAGAATCTCTTACCACTAGTGAAATTTTTGCTCACCTGCATCATGAAGTGCAGTTCTACCTTGCAGGTCTGCATGTTCAGTGGGGCAGTTATACTATCAAATAAAAGGGTTCTATATTAAAAATCAGATCTTAAAATATTTAGCTTTAGTCAATGTTCACTAAAAGTCAATCTATTTACATTTTTCTTTGTTTCATTATCTAGTTTGACACAGAAGAATGCCCAAACAAATTATACAAAGTAAATGTGTAATAAGATTTCACTAAAGATGAAAAAAATGATTTATTAAATAACATAGAATATAATAAGGTATCTTTGCGAGTTTTTAAATCAGAAGACAAACTATGCTTAAATTTCAACAACCAGAAAAATAGTCTCAACTTCTATTATTAATGTAATAACTTACAGATTTTAAAAAACAAAAAAAGTTTACAGAAATGTCTATTTGACCAACCCTTAAAACATTTAATTCAACGAATCTCAAATTCAGTAAAAACCACCACTACCATAACTCCTTAACATTAAATAATCAGTTGAATAACTGAATTTTTCACTGGTCGTTGAAAGGCTCTATAAACAATGCTTGTTGGCTAACAGACTCAAGCCAATAATGTATAAAAAGTCTTTTAAATGGAAAGAAAACAAAGGAGTACTAAATGTTGAATTATCTTAATTTTAAATTAGGTCATAAACATATAAATCAAAATGCCAAAAATTTCTAATCTCAGCTAATGTCAACAGGAAGGTAGTCTTCAGTTTATTTTTAATACATTAAGTTATGCAAATCATTTCCCTCATAGTTTTCTTTGACATTCCTCCATCAAAAAAAAAATGTGTAAACAGGACTGAATTAATCCAAAATTTGAAGACCACATTAAAACAATCCTTAGTATATAATTAAAAGAATTTTTTAAAATCAGTTTAATTTTCACTACCTGTAAAAGCTTTTGCAAGCACAAAGCATGTCCATATTTTGCAGCAAGATGAAGGGCATTTCTCCCTATGAGTAAAAGTGTAATTAATATAAATATATTTGAGTAAGTATACACATAAACAGGAAACTAAGAATTTTTTACAACATTGGTCACTAGAAATGGATGACCCAATAAGATTTTCTTAAGTAACAACTAAAAGTACAATATAACCAAAGAAAATACAATGAAACAAGATCACACATACTAATATCCACATGTTTGGTATCTTTAAGTACCTGGTATTTTTTTCCCCCTTAGTAAAAAGTTACCAAATGTCCTGGATAAAGTGGAAAGGGGGCAATGAAAAAAAAGTTTGACAGCAGTCAAACCAGCAACATTCCCTGACTAATTCCCACTAATCTAGCATATTAAGGAGTATGCTTTTCTCCTTTCAAAGCTCAGCTCAGGTACCATTTCCTCCATGAAACCTTTCTTGATCTTCATCCCCCTGTTTTCTTCCTCTTCAAATCTTCCTAGGGCACGGTCTTAATCTCACACTGCCCTCATCACACTTTGTTATGCCTTTCTATTTTTAAATACAATATAAATATTGATGTGTGTATCTGTATTTACATTTTTCCAGTTATTTAAAGCTAGAAAGTCGTCCCTCTTCTAAAAAGCTTGAATGAGACAATTAGTGTCTTACAAATTATCCTGTGTTCTACATGTAAATTTTAAAGGAAAATTAATACCTGCAGCATCACTGGCAGTAATGTCAACTCCATGTACAAGAATGGCATTCAAACACTCCAAATTTCCCTTTGATGCAACAACATGGAATCTAAACAAAAAAGAAAAATTACAATATTGTACATGAAATTCCAAATAAAAACTAAAATATATTGAAATCGTATTTCATTATATCATATATCCAAAGCAGATCGAAGATAATACTACAAACTTCTTCACTATAAAGTCTCTATTAAACTTGCTTATTTTTAATTAAGTTGAAAAGTTCCCTAAAACAAAATTTTAAAAGAAATAAAATTTTAAACAAATGTTGCATAATTCAGAAAACACAAAAAGAATGTAATCTCAGGTCTTTAGTTCTTTTCACTAGTTGAAGTACTTTCTCTGACTTTCAAATACCTAAGTCAAGCACAAGGCTGGCAAATACTATTGCCTTACAAGTACAAAGTGTATCAACACAGACAATATCACGAGCATGTGGAATTCTTTTTGTAGGGGAGAGGGAAGAGGGAAAAAAAGGAAGAGACCTTAGACATTCTCAATTATAAATATTGTTTTAAATTTTGAGGAAGCATGTTATAATAGAAAGATATCTGGATTTGTTTGTGAGAACTTGGATTCAATTTCCAGTTTTGCTACTTCGCACCTATGACCCTTAAGGAAGTCACATTATTTTCATGGGCCTCAGTTTCCTCCATCTATAAACTGAGAGACTGGAATTAGACATTCTCCAGACTCTGAATCCTATGATCCTAAATGGCTTGTTATATGTGACAGGAATTAAATACCTGGGATGGGAAGGACAGAAGACATGGGAAGTAGCTTGACAGCTTTGCCATAGGCTCAGAAACATACAGGGCAAGACCAAGTGATTTCTTGAACCTGTGATTTCATTTATACAGGAAACTCCCAGATAAGAAAATCATACAGATAGGGACCTTCTCTGTAGTTTATAGTCTTAGGAAGTTATCTAGAATACAGAAAGTAAGTAGGATCACTAGGATCACTTCATTAGTATGTGTCAGAAGGAAGAAAAAGAATGAGGAATTAGGAGGAGTAAGAAGGGAGAAAAGGAGAATGAAAAAGAGAGGGAGGGAAAAAGGAAAGAGGTGAGGGGAAGGAGAAAAAGGAAGGAAAAAGAAGAGAAGAAGAAGGGGAAAGAGGAGGAGAAGAAGAAGTATTTATTTAGGGTTTTATGATTTGCAAAGTGCTTTATATGTTAGCATTTTGCAGATGAGGAAACTGAGGCTAAAAGAGATTAAATGACTTACAAAACGTCAAGGCAAAAAATGAAGAACTCGAATATACCTTTTAAAATAGGGAAGTTTTAGGACTGTCTTTAGTTCTTTAAACAATAATAATCTGAGACAAGATTTGAACTTAAGTAGAGTCCCTGAGGGAGGTGGGGGGGGAGGGAAGAGAAGAGGAGATACATATATGTTGGGAGTTAGGAATTCATATGAAAATTCCAAGAAACTTTCAGGAAATCCTCAAGTTAGCAATCCTGCAAACATCCCATCCTGATTTCTAACAATCTGCTCTAACGAATGGGTCTCTTTTTTCCATTTTTTTTTGTTGTTTTAAAGAAAATGTCTATTTTCTTTTAAAGATATTTCACTTATTTTTTTAAATTAAATTTGTTGTTGTTTTTTTTAATTTAAGAGAAATCTATTTTCTTTCCCTGCCAATTCCCACCCAATTGGGGAGGGAAAAGAAGAAACAAATTCCTTGTAACAAACAGGGACATTCAAGGAAAACAAATTCATTCAGTGGACTAGTTTTCTTTTTTTTGCTAGGCAATGGGGTTAAATGACTTGCCCAGTGTCTGAAGCCGAATTTGAACTCAGGTCCTCCTGACTCCAGGGCTGGTGCTGTATCCACTGCGCCACTTAGCTGCCCCCTAGTTTTTTTTTTTTTTTTTAAAAGCCTTGTTCTAGGGGCAGCTAGGTGGCGCAGTGGATAGAGCACCGGCCCTGAAGTCAGGAGGACCTGAGTTCAAATCCAGCCTCAGACCAAACACTTGACACATACTAGCTGTGTGATCCTGGCGGGTTAAGTAGGTCACTTAACCCCAACTGCCTACAAAAACAAAAACAAAAACAAAAAAACCTTGTTCTACATCCTGAATCCCAACACCTTTCTGTCACAAGATGGATAATATGCTTCATCATCAGTCCTCTGGAATCATGGACTGTCACTGTGTTGCTAAGAGTTTTTATAGCTTTTTAAGTTGTTTGTTTGTGGTGTTGTTGTTATTGTGTAAATTCTTCATTAGTTTATGTGTCCTCAAAATTGTTCATTTTTATACTATTAATGCTATAATGAAAACTTGTTTTTCTGGCTCTGGTCATTTCACACTGTATCATACAAAGCTTTTCTTGTCTCTTTGAAATCATATTTCCTTACATCACAATAGTATTTCACATTACAATTTGTTGTACATATATACATATCAATTTGTTCAAATATTGAAAAGATCAAAACTAATCCTGTATCATTATCTTACTGATCCCTATTCACAATGATTCTCTGCCTCTAAACTTAGTTTAGAATTCAGCTGACCTGTAATGGGTTAAATTTAGAAATCCAGTTCTCTTACTAATCACTGATCTATTCTTGCCTCAAGGAACTCTGCTAACCTTGGGGGATGCCACTTGCCATAAGGGAGCTGGCCCTAATATCTTTACATCACCAAACCATCCTTCAAAGGTGTCTAGTTTGTTACCCAAAGTCTGGACCACTATCTTGCAGGCAGAGTCAAACAATAGACACTTCTTAGTCACAGGAAGGAAGAAGGGGGGTTGTTGCTAGCCTCCATTCCCAACTTCCAACCAATCATATTGTTTCCCACACCTCAGCTACATAACCAATCATGTTTTCCTGCAACCCCATGTTGTCACCTACCCTATACTATTCTTTGTTCTATAGTCCCCAAAACCTATATAAGGGGAGCTGTCTTTTTACTTGAGGTCTTTGGCTAGAAACTTAGGCAGAGATTGACCCATCTTATTTTCAGGTTATTAGCCCTAATAATAAAATGTTATCTTGCTTGGAGAAGCATGCCTCAATTTACCTTTTTGTTTTATTTCACTCGCAACATATATACTACATTTTGTTCAGTCTTTCCCAATTGATGGGCATCCCATTAGTTTCTAGTTTCTTACCAATACAAAAAGAGATGCTAAAATATGTTTGTACATTTAGGATCGTTTCCTTTTTCTTTGAACGTCTTTGAGCATTGGCGTAGCAGCATTTTGTGCATTATTCCAAATTACTTTCCAGAATGGCTGGACCCATTCACATGCCCACCAACAATGCATCAATGTGCCTGTTTTCCCACAGACCCCCTCAACAACTGTCATCTTTGTCAAGCTGATGGGTGTGAGACAGAATTTCAGAATTACTTTAACTTTTTTTTTCTATCAGTGATTTGGAGCATTTTTTTTTAATATGGCCTATCGATAGCCTGGGTTTCTTCCATGAACACTTACCTATTTAATCCTTAGACTACTTATCAATGGGGAAATGGCTCTTATTCTTATAAATTTGAATCAGTTCCTTAAATATATAATCTTGGAAATGAGACTTTACTGGCAAGATTTGCTGCAAAGACTCTTTTCCCAGTTAACTGTTTCCCTTTTGTGATAGGACCAATATTTTCCCAATACAGTTTCCCTGATTTCTCTGACACAACTTTCTCCTTCCCATGCAACCTGATTGGCCCAGCTTCCCTGATTCAGCTTCCTATTCAGGAAACATAAAAGATCCCAACCAAGAGTCTCAGACTAGGTGGGTGCCTGAAATCATGCCAGTCTCTAGCCTGATGACTTACTGACCAAACAGTCTCCAGGTGGAGACAAGGAGGAGCAGAGTGGGGGGAGAGTTGGGGGGCACCCCTCTACACCCAGAGAAGCTAAATGTCACTGCATCTTTTTTATATATTCATGCTATTTTAGGACAAAGTAAACCTTCTCCTTTGTTAAATATTCAGTGACTTTGAGTGCCTCATTTCATCTCAACACTGAATCTGAACTAAGATGGTTCTGGTTTTATAACAGTACCTAAGATGTTTTAATCTTAGCTTTTTTGTATTTATTTATGCAAAAACTTTTTATTTTCATGTAATCAAAATTTATGTTCTATGACTCTATATCCCTTGTTTGGTAATGAAATTTTCTTCTAACCTTCTTCTTCTAAATCTTCTTCTAATGTAATGGGTAATTTTTTCTACATTTCTCTCATTTACTTATGATGTGACCTTTTATGTCTAGATCATAGATCCATATGGAACTTATCTTGGTAAAAGGTATGAAATGCTGGTATAAATCTAATTTCTTCCATATCGCTGTCCAGTTTTCCCAGAAATTTTTTGTCAAACTGAATACTTCTACCAGTACCTTAGGTCTTTCTAGGTTTTCTGTTTACTTGCTTCTGTTATATTGTATACCTAATCTGTTCTACTGTTCTATCTTTATTTTTTAACCTGTACCAAACTGTTTTGAAATTACTACTCTGTAATATAGTTTGAGATCTGATACTGCTAGGCTCCCCTCTTTCCACTTTTTTCCCCCATTATTTCCTCTTAGTCCATCTTAAGGGTACTATTTGCAGCTGGGCTGGTGGGGATTGGGTAATATATTAAAGAAACCTAGATAGCAAAAACAATGGAAACAAAATGGTTGTCTATTGGTTGGGGAACAGATTGTGCTATGTCAATGTAAGTAATGTAGTATTTTATTACCATTAGAAATGATGAATATGAGAAATTCAAAGGAACATAGAAAAATTTTTCTTGAACTCCTGTAGAGAACCAGGGGAATGACTATGATGTTACAAACAAAATCAACACTAAAAATCAGCTGAACTCATAAAACGACCAATCTTGATCACAGGTAGTAGATGATGAAGCACTTCTCTCCCCTGGGTAGAAATAAAGGGCTATATATGAAGAATATTGTATATGTTGCTAGACAGGGATGTCAGTAGGTTTTGCTTAACTTTTTCTTTGTTACAAGGGAGGGTTCAATGGAGAGGGGGAGTATCAGGAAATGAATAGAATATTAAATATCAAAAGGCATCAAAAAACTGTTT